AAAATGCAACTTACATAAAATTGTAAACGCTTTTGTCCTAAATATAAATTAAAACTTACGTCTAAGTTAACGAGTTCGAGCAAATCCTGGACCAAACAGAGTTTTTTTTTTACAATTTTAACTAAAAAAGTACATTTCTGTTTAGATTACAAAATTACGAAGAGAACAACAAGCTCTAAGTTACAGTTACTTATAACAAACATTTTATATAAAATCCAATACAAACACATTAATATAAATATTTTAATGTATGGGGCCTCACATGGTACCTTGAGACACGCTAAAGTAAATGAACCAAAATAGCTCAAGTCACATATATATCGTTATACTTTTTTACGTAAAAGATGCTTTCATGGACATTTTAAATTTTATTGCTGGGCATAGACCTAGTACAGGTGCCATAATATTTACATGTAATATATAATAGTATGCGGATTTTTGCAATTTCACTAAATTTAAAAATGTATTACATTAATCACTAGAACTGCAGTCACACAATAATGATAATGATGAATTAGATTACACATATGACTATTTGTTTTATTATTAAAAATAAATATTTGTTAAATGTATTTTACTTTCTGGCACATCTTATACAAAGCATAAAACCTATATGAGCTATATAACTATCATATAAGTTTGTTTTTAATGATGCAGAAGCTAGAACCGATCCAACAGAATTGGTCCAGGATGCTCTTTAGATCCACAAGCAAGCGTCTCTTTGTTATTCTCATTATTCGTTGTTTTTTTTTTAAGTCTCATATATTTCCTATTTTTCGACAATGTGACCAATTTTATAAACATTTCCTAGGAATAATGTAAATTATTCTAAAACTTTTAAAAAATATAATTTATTGATTGAAATTTATATCACACATTATTTGGTTTACTGATTATAATTTAATTTTTATTTTTATCACAACTCCATATCATGGTCTATAACCAGATAAAAATTGTAAACAATTAGCAAAAGTATATTTTTTTTAAATGGTTTAACAAATCCCAAGTTACACAGTAAATTATTACGTATTCGTTTACGTTAACGTCTAAAATAGCATGGAATTATTTTAATAGGATTTACTTTGTGGCCTTTAGTTTCGAGTATATTAAATTAAAAAGAGACTTCAGCAGATATGTCCCTCAGGGTACAGGACTCCTTTCCGAGAGGGTTTTAGGGCAAGGAAATGTCCCCCGCGCTGCCCCAATGCGTGTTGGCGAACTTTGCATGTGTCCAAAATATTTTTTTAATTGTCAGACATGCAGATTTCCTCAAGATGTTTTCCTTCACCGCCGAGGATAAAGCGCTTAAAATTGCAATTAACAATTTCATTGGTGCCGGCGGGGATCGAACCCGGGTAGCACGCGTACTGTGAAATTTACAGCGAGCGCTTCGCCCCTAAGCGTGGATGGGCCGGCTCGAACCGGGGTGGTACCACGACCTCACAGAGTACCAACGTGAAGTAGAGGTTTACCTCTGCGTTTCGCTTGGTGAGTGCAGGTGGCCGGAGGCCCTTTTTACTGGAAATGAGGCATTCCATCTTAGTCCTCACGGGTGACAACGCATCTGCATTTTGATTCGCAAACGAGGATAGATGTAGATGTCTATGGGCCGCAGCAACCACTTACCATCAGGTGGACTGTGTGCTCGTTTGTCACCCTTATCTTATAAAAAAAAAAAAAAAAAAAAAAGCTACCACGGCTCTATCCTGTGGTATGATGATAATAAATAAGAAAAAAAGTTCCAAAAAACCTTATAAAATAGATCACAGATAAACAGAAAATGAAGTTGTAATTTTCATTGATATTTTCAAACTACGCAACAAGACGCACGAATTTTCCTTCCATTTAAACATTTCAATATAGACTGTTTACGGGACGGAGTTGTTTAACACAACAAAATAGCTTAAGCTTCTTGAATTTCGCGCCATAATCCCATAAAATGTGAAAAGATTAAAAAAAAAATATATTACAATGGCACGAATCATTCTTGCCAATTGACTTTCGACTTAATTATCCACTACATTAGATAACTTTTGCATTAATTATAAATAACTAAGAACTAATTGTTTTAAACAACACTTTTGGAATGATTTTTCTTGATCACAAGCCTTGTACAATATTTTGGTATACAATACAGGATGTTACAATATTCTATTGATCGAGATATTATGTTGAACTTCAGTTTTATTTGTTAAATAACATTATTCATATTTATACAGTTTCTAAACACTATAGATAGAACACAGAAATGCAAGAAGACTTAAAAATATTTATTTTGTACAATATTAGTGTGACAAAGAAGCTAAGGTTCCATTTGATGGAAAACTTAGAAGGCCACAGATGTGTTGTCACTTCTGAGGACAAAGAAGTTATTTCTCAAAGCATGTTCATTACGCAGTTTAGATCGAAACAGCAGTCACATTAAACCATTAGCTTTCGTATATAAGGATCATATTTTATTTATTTATTAGACATACCAACAGGGTAGATTTCAACTAGTATTTCTACAATTCTACTACTTTCTTATATTCTAATTTATAGTTCATAAAATACGACAGTCGAACATATTTTGGACTTAATCTGCTCATTCATTAAAGGTTTTTCAGATATTACTCAAAATCAGCGGTTCTCAACTACAGACCACGACCCAAATCTTGTTGCACCGGATATTAAAGACAGTCATGTGAATCAGAAATTAATTTAAAAATGACTAGTAAGAAATGAATCAATTCTGTATAGTAGTTATATTAATTGCTTTCTTATTACTTATACTATTCTAGACACTATTATTAGTTCATTTGAATCATTACTACACCACAAGACACAGGGTAGCGACATTCAAGTACAAATGTATTTAGAATTGAAAGTCAAAAAGGTTGAGAATCGCTGGCCTTTACGAGTAAACCTCAACCATAAGACATCGCAACGTCCGTTTAAAATAATTACTTTATTTAAATAACAACCGCTAGTCTAACTGAATGGAGCTCTATTCCACAAAATGTGTAAAATTATAGCAACCAAACCTCTGCTATTTTGAGACTTAAAGTCCAAACAAGTTTTTTTTTTAAATCGAAATATATAAATAAAAATAAATAATGTCAACAGTAAAACATCACATTTGTGTTATTTGTGACAACGAAACAGTAAAGCACTAAATATAATACAATACTTCCAAAGTCAGTTGGTCCCTTGTCATTTGTTGTATAAATAAATACGAACTAAAGTTCAATTCCGGTGGATGTCGTACCACTGATTTCTTAATGAGAGGTGTAACCTGAAACATAATTAAAAGTTTTTAATTAGCTACTTGTTTTTTTTTTTTGGATTGAGACAAACATCCTATACACAACTCATGACTGGGAAGAGGCCTCAATTTATTAATTTTTTAATAATAAGAGTGACAAAAGTGGATGCTGTAGCCCATAGACACCTACATCTATTTTAGATTAATAATAAAAAATGACAATAACGTACACTACTAACGTTTTCTACGTGGTAGAGCCATGCTGCAGCTATATTATGGTTGTAGCACGAATGGGTCGGCTCGACCGGGGAAGGACCACGTTCTCACAGAAAACCAGCGTAAAATAGCAGCTTAACGCTGCTGTGTTTCGTATGGTGAGTGTAGAGAACCGGAGAACCTTTTTACTGGCAAAGAGGCATTCCATCTTAGTCCTCACGGGTGACAACGCATCTGCATCTTGAGTCTTCATTGAGGATAAATGCAGATGTCTATGGGTCACAGTAACCACTTACCATCAGGTGGACTGTGTGCTCGTTTGTCACCCGATCCTATAAAAAAAAACAATAACTGTCAGTTACAAAATTGAACGATTAAGGCGATAACCCGACCAAAACCTTGCGATAGTGCGTTTTTCTTCGTTATTCAGAGACCATTTCTCATTAGTTATGAGAAATAAACTACATCTAAAAGCACATTATTAATGTTCGATATTCTTTCGTTCTAATTTGTTGCTACATGCATCTGTTGCTAAAGGCAACGCTCTAATCATTTGAGGATTACACTAATGGATAGATAATTTAAAATCTATGTTATTCACGTTTTATTTAATTTTTAAAGTTCGTTTTTCTTTTTTAATTAAAATTAATTCCAAAAATTGTGTAAACTCTATGATAAATGGGCGTACGTAGAGTGCGGACGGCAGTACACTGCATGCATCAAGGTTCAAGGTTATTTGGTTAGGGAAACGCCATAAGGGTATTCTTACAAATTATTTTCGAAATTGGACCGTGCTGTGCAGAACTGTTTCAACCCATCCAACTGGTCGAAATTCAGAAGATCTTATTTTTAACCGACTTCAAAAATGAGGAGGTACTCAATTCGACTGCATGTTTTTACCTCACAACTTTTGTTTAGGTGAATCGATGTTGATGATTATTTTTTTATTTGATATATTCATATTCATCAAAACAAATTTGATCAATGTCTCACCAGTAGTTTTTGAGTTATCCTTAATAATTTATATTGAAGTAGTTCGTATAAAATTTTTAATTTTATCACTTGTAGTTTCCTATTTTCAAGTATAATAGATTTCTGAAAAATAACTAGTAACCTCAAAATCTATATTCTATTTTCTTTATAATGATACATAACATAATATAATAGGACTTCTACCACAAGGAAAATGCATTTATCTTTAATATTTGAATAATTATGTTTTTGTGGGTGGACTTGTACTTCTGAAAAATAACAAGTAATCTCAAAATTTACATGAAAATTTCTTTAAAATGATATATTTATGTCACATAATATTATAGGGACCATGACACAAAAAAAATGCATTTATCTATCATATTTGACTTTAAATTTTAGTAGGTTGAAACATTTCTGCATAACACGGCATAAACAAAGAAATATAGTATAGCTCAGAACCAGTTTTGAATCCCTGCTTATCATCTATAACAAGCCAACAAAGCAACGATCAAATTACAGATATAACTCACCAGTGAGAGTATCACGCAGTCCAAGGTGCAGGAAGTCACTTGGTGGTGAGGTGTGCGGTCTCGCTGTCGCTGGGCGGCGCGGGCTCCGACACGCTCACCTTGATGATGGGCGGCGGCGGCGTGCCGGGCGGCGATGGCCGGTTCATCACCGTCAGCGCGCCAGAGTTCACGTCCTCGATGGCCTTACGCAGCTGATAGAACAATGATCACATCACTATTTGACCTCAACAATATTGACAAGGGTGGAGATCGAAAGGGGGCTAGGTGGGAGCCTCCCTGTTAGGATAAATACCTCTATATTATTATTATTATTATATAACAGACCAGCAGTTGATTGACTAATATAAGCCCGTATCCTAGTTTCAAATGTGTAATGATAATAATAGTGTTGGCAACTTCATTACTGGCAACATCGTCCGCCCCTCTTCGTGCACAACGGATGAGAAGTGGAAAGGGAAATGTTATAAAATAGGGTGCATCATGATTCTTAGGTATTCTGTTTTGAGAACACGCGTCGAATTAGTCAAAGTGTAATTAAGTGTCGTGATTACAAAAACTGTAAATATTGATTGCTCTGTACAAATATTAATTGAATACAATACATATATTGTGTTATAAGTGCATATTTATTTATAATAAACTATTTTATTGTGTTAACAATAGTTTGTGCAGATGTCGCTTCTAATGGCAGCTTGTTGCGTGCTTCAACCCCTCTTTGCCTAAAAAAGTACTTGTGTGGGTTATTATGTGACACGGCTTTAATTATTTTTTTTATAGGATAAGGGTGACAAACGAACACACAGTCCACCTGATGGTAAGTGGTTACTGTGGCCCATAGACATCTACATCTATCTTCGTTTGCGAATTAAAATGCCGATGCGTTGTCAGCCGTGAGGACTAAGATGGAATGCCTCGTTTCCAGTAAAAAGGGTCTCCGGCTCTCTACACTCACCATACGAAACACAGCAGCGTTAAGCTACTATTTTACGCTGGTATTCTGTGAGAGCGTGGTCTTTCCCCGGTCGAGCCAACCCATTCGTGCTACAACCATAATATAGCTGGCATGGCTCTACCACGTTTATTTTGAAGTGATGTCATCTAAGATGTGTGTTTTTTGAGTACTAGAATAAATCTTTATCAAAATTTTCTAGATCGTACTATCCATGTATAACTTTATGTTTCGATCAAGTCTTCTCGTTCTCTGCGATCTTTCAGAGGCGTTAGTTTAAGTTTATTCAGCGTTTCAGGTATGTATTTAAATGCTATAGGAACTTTTGAAAATCTGCGTTGAACCTTCTCCAGTAACTCAATCCTTTCTGAAATAGATTTGGAATGTATATTTCAAAGGATTTTCTAATAAGGTAAAAATAACTATTTGCTTCTTTAGTTATCATTGTAATGTGATGCTAACATTTTAGATCGTTACTTATATTCACAGCTATATCTTTTTGTACTTTAACTACTTCCAGAGGTATATCATCGATTTTACATATGAAACCAGGGTTTCGATTTCCTATATGGACGACTGTGTATTTCATCATCATCATTACAGCCCTTCACAAGTCCACTGCTGAACATAGGCCTCCCCCAAGGAATACCACAATGCACGGTCCTGAGCCACCTACATCACTCCATCTAGTGGGGGGACGAGAACCTTTTTTCCCCATCGGTTATCGGTTCTTCGAGCTATATGGCCAGCCCGTTGCCACTTCAGCTTACTAATCCGTTGGGCTATGTCGGTCACTCTGGTTCTACTGCGAATATCCTCATTTCTAAGTTTATCACGCAGAGAAACTCCGAGCATAGCCCTCTCCATAGCTCGTTGAGCGAGTTGTTGAGCAAGCTTCACCATACGGCCAGCAGTGAAACGTCACGTCTCAGTTCCATAGGTCATCACTGGCAACACGCACTGGTTGTACAATCTCGTTTTCAAGTTTTGAGGTATACCTGACGAGAAGATGTGCCGTAATTTTTAGAACGCTGCCCAACCGAGTTGAATCCGTTGATTGACCTCTGGGTACAAGTTAGACTTACCTAGTCGGACTATTTGTCCCAGGTAAACATACTCGTCAACAACTGCGGGCTTAGTGCTCCCAACAAATACCGGCATTATACATGATCTTTGTTTTGTCGACGTTATTCATGAGCTTTGTTTTGTCCATGTTCATCTTAAAACCTATCCGTTGGGAGGAACTATTGAGGTCATTGAGCATAGTGCTTAGGTCCTCCAGCGATTCTTCCATAAAGACTATATCGTCGTCAAATAGAAGGTGAGTGATGTACCCGCCGTTGATGTTAATACCGTATCACTTCCAGTCCAAAAGTTTAAAAACGTCTTTCAATGCAGCGTTGAAGTGTTTCGGGGATATAACGTCACCCTGTCTTACATCTCTCTGCAGTTGGATAGGTGTCGTACTCTGGTTCTGTACTCGAATAGCCATTGTAGCCCTACTGTACAAACACTTCAGCACTTTGATGACTTGGCACTGCTGAAGGGACTGCAGCACCGCCCAAATTTCGACGGAATCAGATGGACTGTGTGGTCGTTTGTCATCCTTATCCTATAAAAAAAGTCTTCCGTTCGTTCACACCCTTCATATTTTTAAGGAAATATTTTTAGTATTTAATACCTTATTTTTCTTCCAATATAAACAATAATGCATTAACAAGAAACTACCAATTATTAAGCTATAGTTGGACCCGGTAGGTGTCGCTGTTCTCGACATCCAGAAATCACATGTAAAGACAAAGCATATCGCTAGTATTTATATATATTTGTATATTTGAAATAAACAAATAAATTATTCAGGAAGAATTGTAACAACAAACCTCTTTTAATGAGACCACTCCAATTAGACGACCTATCGCCGTCACATACGCTCGAGTCACGCCCAACGTCGAGAACAACGAATGAACCTGAAACAAAACGTCGAGTTATTAATCTATATATTAATACGTGAAGATAAAACTTTGCTCGCGTTCGTAGGAGAGTGAGATTTGACATGGTTTAAGTTTATATGGACAGGGACTGCTGAAAACTTTATGAATGAAATTCATTGTTGACGTTCATACCGCTAATGCAAGAGTAAGAACATACGTATGTATCTCGCCACAGAGTATTAAAAAAAACAATTATTTCTAACAGATGGACTAAATGAGCTGTGAATTTTGTGAAGCGTTTGTCAAGGAAAAAAGGGTTTATTTTATATTCATCGTTATTACAGCCCCACGCAAATCCACTACTAAAGATAGGCCTCCTCCATGTAACGCCACAAAGCACGGTCCTGAGCCACCTGCATCCATCGACTTTCTGCATGTCTTACCAAGTCGTCACTGCATCTAGTGGGGGGACGCTCTACATTTACTACTTTTGCCGGTACGAGACTGCCATTCGATACCTTTCATCCCCATCGGATGTCGGTTCTTCGAGTTATATGGCCGATCCAATGCCACTTCAGCTTACTAATCACTGGAGCTATGTCAATCACTCTGGTTCTACTGCAGATATCCTCATTTCTAAGTTTATCAAGTAGAGAAACCCCCAGCATAGCCCTCTCCATAGCTCGCTGAGCGACCTTGAGCTTAGTCATACGGCCAGTAGTGAAGGATCACGTCTCATATCCATAAGTCACAATTGGCATATTCTACGTTATTATTTATATGTATTTTGTTCTCTACATTCTCGTTCGATGTCATACGTGGTAGAGCCACGCTGCAGGTATATTATAGTTGTAGCACGAGTGGGTCGGCTCGACCGGGGAAGGACCACGCTCGCACAGAATACCACCGTGAAATAGCAGCTTAACGCTGCTGTGTGTCGTATGGTGAGTGTAGAGAACCAGAGACCGTTTTTACTGGAAACGAGGCATTCCATTTTAGTACCCACGAATGACAACGCATCTACATTTTAAGTCTTTATTGAGGATAAATGTATATGTCTATGGGTCATAGCAACCACTTACCATCAGGTGGACTGTGTGCTCGTTTGTATTGTTGTTACTGACTGTTACAGTTTATTAAAGTCCACTGATGAATAGATTGCCTCATAGGGTATTAGCCATAGTTGCCACGCTTGGCAAGCAAAAGCAGTTTTTTTTTTAATTTTTAGTCGTTATTTGGAAGACGCTGCTGCCCATCTCTATATTTGTTTTCCTCTGTCGCCTCTTACGACACCCACGGGGTGATGTGGGGTAGTGGGTATTCTTACACTGCCACTACACATTTGTTAACATCCGTCAAATTTCAATTAAATGTTTCAGTTTTCTGACATGAAAGATATTGCAATGCATATCGGGCATAGACAGCCTAGTAAATAGCAACACTTGTTACCACTAGCGCCCTCTAGTATCAAGTGGCAGAACTAGGAGAGTCAAGATCTTTCTAGAAATTTCCATGGAAGAACTTTCTAGAACTATCGACACCTAGTCAATCGGGACCGGTATGTACTCAAACATTCTAGATGTTTCTACAGTAGAAGATTCTTACTTGAACTATCTGAGGCCTTATATAAGGCCGATATAGACCGCGACCGGAGTCAGTGTTGAATTGGCGATACAAGCGAATACTTCGAAGCGATACAACTGCGAACTAAAGTGATCAGTAGTACAATTGTGTTTTGTTATTAGTGTGGATTTGAGTTGTAATTAGTGTTCTGTAATTAAAGTGTCAATTGTGGTAATTCACTCGGCAGTTTTTAATTGTCTCGAACCCCAAGCTCGTAAGAGTGTCATAAAAAACTCACTTTAAGTAACGAAGTCCTCTCGACCAGCTGGAACGGTGCAGGGTCGATGTGGCAGATGTACAGGTTCTCGTCCTCGTAATCGAAATCATCTGGATGCTGCAAGACAACAATAAGCATTTAATTTTTTTTTAAATCCCTATTCAATTCCAGATAAAGATTGGTCGAAGAGAACATTACAATTATTTTGCATAATTAGTAGAAAAAACCTATTCGCATAATACTATGACATTCACAATGAGGGCATCCATGACATTTTCTGCCACCAAGGCGGCGCTACTAGAAAGTGAGGTATAATATTTGACAGATTTCATAGCGGGGAAGTTAATTTGTTCGTAAAATGTAAAGGTTATTGTTTCTTTCTACACTATAAGCTATAATTCATATTAATAAGATTAAAAATAAATAGACCAAACCACAGATATTCATAAAATTAGAAAAATTAAAAAATGTTTAAATGTGCAAAAAAATTAAAGAGCAAACCACTGACGCATTGTTTTGTGTATTAATTTAAACTTTTATTAAAAACCAACTTCTCAATTAAACTACACTGTGTAACAAAAACCTTTACCTCGGTGTCAACTAGCGACATCTGGTGAGCAGAAAATAATTAGCCCTCATTCGCACTAAACAGTAAATCTTATGTCACAGGTTATAATGTTTCTGTCAATCGTTTGTTTCGTATCTATAAAAAATATGGTTGCAATCACCAATACTTACACGACCCGGGTCAAATGACCGAATCATTAACTATTGACAAATGTTTACAATGACGATAGTACATACCATATCCCTCTTCCTCGCAATCTGCAGCATCCTGTCAAAGTCGATCTCTTTGGCCATCTCTAGCTGTTCCCAAGCTTTCTGGTCTTCGGGAGACATGTCGCAGACGCGTTCGCGTGGCTGTGAACAATTCAAGTTTGAAATATAGGAACGATTTCGACCAAATTGACGATATAGTGAAATTGGGTCAAATTAAGAAAACTCTTAACCAACGATCAAGTATACGTAGATAGTAAAAGAAGAAGAAGAGAGAGAAGTGTCTGGACCGTGTCAAGTCTGTAGTCTAGAGTCGGTAGGAATTGCATAACTTAATTCTTCCCTCTCTCTTCCACCATCGAACAGCCAGACGCTCTGTCAGTTCTTAACTTTCGTTGTAGACTTACCCTGCATTGCAACCAAACGGTTTGCTACATCGTTCGTCATGCGTACAGCAAAGAAGTGCAGTGAGTCGCCAGCATCTGCCTTTCCATCCGATTACAATGTGGGTGTCTTCAAGGCAAGAGTGTAAAGGCTTTTGCTAAGTCACTTTATCATCTTCGCCTATATCACCACTCACCATCAGGTTGTACGGGCGTAGAATAGTTAAAAAAAGGCTTCACGATTATGGCTGACAAGCGTGTAAGTTAATTACTTCGATAATTAATAGAATAAACAAAATAGAATAACTTCAATTAATCATTTCGATTTGTAGAATAGAGAAGTTGCATTAATTTTTTTGCCACAAATTTATATATAAATAAAAGAACAATTTTTTTTTATGTAATTATTATTAAAAATAGTTAAATTTTTAGATGAAAAACAAGACTTGTGATTGGTTGTGACGTCATTATATCCGTTGAGGCTGTGAGTCAATTGCAATCACGCTATACTTTTGTACTTTGTGTCATAAGTAATAAGGCAATGGCATTTTTTTAAATTTTGACAACGTAAACATGAGTGTTTTATAATTTCACCACGCGGTGGCGTTACTAAAGCGATATAATGACGTCACTGGCGTTTGAATTTACATTTTAGAAAAACCATTTTTAATTTTAAAATTACTAGTTATTTTTTTAAATTTATTTTAATAATTTTTAATAAATTTTCAAAAAAAATTTAAAAAATAATTTTAACTAAAGGTACGGATTATTTCTATATAGGAATCTGTCTAGGTTGGTCCCTTTAATTTATTCTTTATTATATTCCAATATAATGGAATGCCCCACACGCTATAGTTATACTTCAGACCGGATTACATTGTGTGTACATGTGCTTATTAAAATGATTAATTATTTGTTTCTTTTTTTTCCAACAATACAGTGGACCCCCGGTAATCCGGCCCCTGTCTAATCCGGCACCCCCTGTAATCCGACATGATCTATTATTAATTATTAGATATTTTTTGACAATCTTCGCAAATGCATGATTGAACAAGTTATAACTTGACTCATAATTTTTGATTATTTTAGTATGTACATTCGTTTGTACACAATTATTTCCTAATGTAAATTTATTGCATATTTTTTGTAAGTTCTATAGCATTAATGACGTTAATTTTATAATAAAATGTATACTCCCTATTGTGTTGTTTAATTTACTAAATTTGACATACATAATGAAGTACAACTTGCACTCCAGAGTACTCTTATATAACATATAGAATGTTATCATTGGATCTGGAATTTGTCGGATTACAAGGTACTCTTTTATAAAAAATTCCGGACTATAGGGGTTCTTAGGCAGTACTCTATAATCCGACAAATTTGATAGTTCGATACTGCTCTGCAAAATGTTTGTCGGATTACCGGTGGTCCACTGTATGCCCAACAGTGAGACGTTCGTAGAGTGTAACTTTACGTAGATGTTTACCAGTTGCACTTTCTTGTTGATGGACGGACTACGCGGGACGCCCGTGTTGATTTGGTCCGGTAGACCTCCCTCCACGTCTTGCAGCAAGGTGGACCTCTTGAAAATGGCTTCGAACGCTGCGCGGATTCTACAGAGAGAGAGAATATCGAAAACATTGCGATATAAAACATTGAACGATGATATAAAAAAATATTATTGACCGAAGTCTATTTTTTATTATTAATGTAACAATAATAATCGAGAATATAGTATATAATTTTACGACTAAGATATATATATATATATATATATATATATATACACGCATACACACACACACACATGTATATATATATATATATATATATATTATATATATATACACACACGCATACACACACACACACACACACATATATATATATATATATATATATATATATATATATATGATACTTATTAATTTTTTTAGTCAATTTTGTGAATATTAATAATAGATATTGGAATCTCAAATTGACTCTAAGATGATTGATTCAGTGAACTAGTTCTGGGAGATTGATTAACATAAAGCGACCCAAATGGTTTTAGTGATACATTGTGTACACTGTGATACATTAAGTCAAAAAATTAGAGTTTGATTTATTTTTTACATGTATTCAATAACTTCAAAGTATTATCTAAAAAGGGTAATTTGGAGATTTAAATTTTAGAAAATTGTGTGAAAAAGTGAAAAGACTTAACAGCCGTACCCTAATGTAACTTTTTCAAAGTGTAGTAATTTCGTCTCTATATATGGATTTCATCTGGAATTAGAAATTTTTATGTAGAACTATTCAGACTCCTACACTAGGATACTATATAATTTAGCAGATGTGGCAAATGCTTCTTTAATGTATTCGAGACACTCTCAGTATAGGAAGGTAGTTTTTGATAATAATATACCGTGTAGTGGCGGTGTAAGAATATCCACTACCCCATATCATCCCGTGGGTGTCGAAAGAGGCGACAGAGAGAAACACATCAAGAGATGGATAGCAGCGTCTTTTTAATAACGCCTTAAATAAAAAAAACTCTGCTTGGCAACTACGGCAAATTACCCCCACTATGAGGCAATCTGTGGGGGAGGCCTATATACAGCTGTGGAATTTAAAAGGCTGTAAAAAAGGCTGACGTTATCAGTGCGCTAGAGCACCTGGTCTCGGCGCCGGTGACGGTGGAGTAGACGGAGGGCTGCGGCGAGGCGGCCGCCAGCCCGCGGCCCAGAGTGAACGAGTTCGTCTTCTTCAGGATCGACTTCGGCCGGAACAGCTGCCCGGGCGCTGCAACACAACCACTACGTTACATACACATTATACCCTGCAGCCTATCGGTGTTCTTATAACAGAGATAGAGGTGGGAAATAGAGTGCACAGTATAGGAATCATCATCGCACCATGGAAGAACCATGCTGCATCTACATTATGATTGCAGCAAGAATGGGTCGACTCGACAGTGGTAGGAGCATTCTTCCACAAAATACAATAAAATAGAACAATGCTCCAGTTTCGTATAGCGGGTGTAGAGAACCGAAGACCCCTTTTACTGCAAACGAGGCATTCCATCTTACTCCTCGTGATTGATCCAGGATTGATGTATGTCTATTGGCCACAGCATCCACTTACCATTAGGTGGACTGTGTTTGCTTGTCATTCTTATTCTATGGAAAAAAGCAGTATAGAAGGCGGACGTACTATTACTAGATGGTAAGACTCCTAGAGAGGAGTCTAGAGGAGGGCAGAGGCCCAGGAGTCCGTCCGGGTAAATGCCATCCTCTTACCTATTTCTGTCACCACGTACCATGACGTGACGTGTGTTACTACACAATATACGAATCATCATCGCAAGTCCTCTGTAAGACATAGGCCTGCCATTGTATGTCACAAAGCACAATTCTGAGCTGCTTACATCCATCGACTCATCAACTTCTTCTTACCAGGTCCAGGTACAATGTTGCCACTCGGGCACCGTTATTCGCCATCATTCTATTCTATTCTATTCTATAAGATGAATTAAGGAAACCCCTGTTACGCGATGGAATATGAATCTTATGGCTATTTTGGGTAGGAAGCTCAATTGTGTTTAGAATACAGATATTTAAAGTTAACGTTATTAAAGAGGTAGAATTTGCGCCATACAATACAATAAAATAGAATAGAACCTTTTTTTTATACAATATAGATTACATGTAATTCTCATTGATTTTTTTTTTACTTTAACATTGGTTCAGAAAAAACCTCTGTCTTGGGAAGAACCAGCAAGAAACCCAACGGGACTTTTTTATATATTATAATAATCATTAGGTTTTAGTGACGGTTTTCTGTTTTAAATTATTAATTTTGGTAGACATGCTAGAGCAACGTTGAAAAGTATACACTCCACTGGGACCACGCTCGCACTGAACACCAGCATGATACTGCTGTCGTTCTTATGGCGTGTGTAGAGAGCCGGATAGCCTTTTTACTGATTAAAAGGCATTCCATTTTATTCCTCAGGGGTGCTAACGTATCTGCATTTCTATTCTCAAGCGAGGATCGATAAAGGTGTCACATTATCCATTTTTTTTTATAAGATAAGGGTGACAAACGAGCACACAGTCCACCTGATGGTAAGTGGTTGCTGTGGACCATAGACATTTACATCTATCCTCAATAAAGAATCAAAATGCAGATGCGTCGTCACCGGTGAGGACTAAGATGGAATGCCTCGTTTCCAGTAAAAAAGGGTCTCCGGTTCTCTACACTCACCACACGAAACACAGCAGCGTTAAGCTGCTATTTTACGCTGGTATTCTGTGAGAGCGTGGTCCTTCCCCGGTCGAGCCGACCCATTCGTGCTACAACTTTACTACTAATATAGCTGTAGCATGGCTCTAACACGTAAAATCCATTTACCAATAGGTGAATTATGTGCTGGCTCGCTGTCATCCTAACTTTTCATTGGTGCCGGAGAGAATCGAACCCAAGTTGCTCATGCACTGTGAAATTCTTGGCTCGGATACGTGTTAGAAGTAAAATTAGTCTACAATGATGGGATCCAAAAACGTAAATCACACCTGGTATCAAACCACCCTGATCCTTCGTGGTGAGTGAGGAACCCCTCGTCATGCCAGTGCCTGGCACTTGAAGCATGTCCGGTGCAGGGGTCACCTGAGGAGCAAACAATTCTTTAATTATTTATAATATTACTAGCTGACCAGGCAGACGTTGTTCTGCCCTTTCCGACGACCATTTGCTTTCCTAAAAAAAAACTCCTGAGGGTACGCGTACACCTAATCCGTCAACGGCCGAACTCGGACGATCGAATCAAACACTTGTAAAAGAAAGAGAGTGCGTACATAACATAACACGACCGTCATCGTCCGATGACGCACGAAATCGGCCGATCAACCGTTGAGTCCGAACTTATTGGGATTTCTCGCCAGATTGCCGGCGTCTACAGTGCAAATTGAGTGTATTTATAGTTTAATTTAATAATTTTGTCTTTATTCTGTTGTTTTTGTCAGTGTTGTTATCTACCTAAGCGACTACAGATATTGAAAAATTAATTAGTTGTGTTTATAATAGACAATTACAATAATCGAGAGGTTTCGAAGCGGTTATGGGCTGAAGTTGGATCGGAAATGGATATAACAGTTCCAGATATTTAAAAAAATACGTCTTCACTCTGTTAAGCAACACAGTCAACTACAGAATATCGGCAACGTTCAATGTCGGCACACGTGGTGCACTGTTGCAGTGTAAGCACATACACGTCCGAGTTACTCGTCCGGGTAGTTTTGTCCGCCATCGGCCGAGAAAGTCGGTTTTGTTGTACACGTACCGTGAGATTAGCAATAAAAAATTGAGGGTCACTTATCGGGATAAAAACTATCTTATCTCTCAAGTTGGACCAAACTGCACAGAGTGTGCAAAATTTCATTGAAATCAGTTCAGTCGTTCAGGAGTTCATCGCGGACAAACAACGTGACACATAATTTTTTAATATAAAGATATTTCAATTTTAAGATACTAAGTAGTGTTTGTTAATAATTTGATTGCAGGCAATACCTTCTAGAGGAGGGGAGTTTGACGAAAACGAATTTATATAGTTTTTATGACATTAGAGTGGAAAACAAGATAACGCCAAGATGGACGATTAGAGCCCATAGTTAATACTCGCTCTCGCGTCCATCAAACTGCAACCAAGCTGTGAGTATTCGCTCTGGCTTAGAGTTCATTATCCATCTATATATTTTATTTTATAGAACTGAGGGTGACCAACGGATTTAAAAAAGAGTAGACTCTTTTCTTCCGTAGTAGTATGAACCGTTCATCGTAAAAATAGCTAGTTCTAAAGTCAGCCTTGTATTAGGTACATAGCAGTGTTTGCAGCACATGACACACACAACATGTTAGTGGGGGGGAGTGTTACCTCGAAGCGTGAAGGCCTGCGCAGTCTCTTGGCCTCCTCGTGGCGGCGGCGCTCCTGCTCGCGCCACTGCGCCGCCACCTGCAGGCGGCGCTCGCGGCCCACGGCGCGCTCGATCACCTTCACCAGCTCCCAGCGGTGGATGGACCCCAGCAGCACCATCGACGACGGACTGTCCACCAGCGGGAAGCTCTTGATCGTCTGCTCCAAGCAAGCTGCACTTAGTGTATAACCCCTCGAATATGGACGAATGGATTGGTAACTATTACCCGAGTCCGCAAACAATCTGGATTATTATAAGCCAGTGCGTAACTACAATCCCATCTTAAGTTAGGGGATGATAAAGCCTTAGACGATAAACTGAACTGTCTTAGTGTAACAAAAGCCCTCGAATATATCCTAATGTGGAGGAGGATAATGGGTGGAGACTGATAAATCCCAAAAAGGTATCGCACTGTCTTAGCGTAACAAAAGTCTATAATCCCTCGAATACAGTCGTATGAATTTTGGTAACTATTACGCGAGTTCGCGAACGTCAGATAAATTAAACATTTTTTTACTTATCATAAGCCAGTGCGTAACTACAATCCGACCTGATGGCCGAACACAGCAGTGTCAAGGTGCCATTTTACGCTGGTATTCTGTGAGAGCGTGGTCCTTCCCCGGTCGAGCCGACCCATTCTTGTTACAACTATACTACTAATATGGCTGCAGCATGGCTCTACCACGTATAAACGTGGCTTACTTATTGTAAGCCAGTGCGTAATTATAATCCCTACGGATGGAGAGTGATGAAACTCTAACTGGTAAAACTACACTGAAATCGCACTGTCTTAACATAACAAAAACCTAAAATCCCTTGAATATAGCCGAATAGTATTAGTAGCTATTGCACAAATCGTAAACGAAAACTGTTTTTTATTTAAAATTACATCAGTCAGTGACTACAATCCCTTCAAGTGGAGAGCAGTAAATCCCTAAATGGTAAATCGCACTGTCTCAGTGTAACAAAACCTATAGTGGTGTAACTCCTCGAATAAAGTCGAATGAATTTTTGATAACTTTTGAGTCCGCCATTTTTTTATTTGTTATAGCTAGTGCTTAATCCCATCTAGTGGTAGAGGGTAACGAATTACAATATGGCAAATCGCACTGTCATAGCGTAACCTCACAAATATAGTCAAATCATGATCTTATATTTACGCGAAGACTACACATTAAATGAACCTAATTTTTACGGATTTTATCGCGTTTAATTTAACTTCTTAATTCCCGACGTTTCTGGTGCTTTACAGCACTTTTGCATATTAATTTTGACCAAAAATTAATATTCAAAAACTGAAGGTAGCCGGGCTAACTATGACACCGGGACGTCAAACACCTCAGTCCCCCCCGTGACCATGGGTGCTGGAAAGCACCCGAAACGTCGGGAATTAAAAAGTTAAATTAAACGCGATAAAATCTGTAAAAATTAGTTTAATTTAATAATATAATCAAATCAATTTTTAGTTTACTACCTGAGTGAACAAGCACAAACTCAAATAAATAATTTCGTTTAATTTATTAAAGTAAGTGCGCGACTACTATCCCACCTGGAGCTAAGCGGTAATAGAACCCTAGATGGTAAATAGTTTAACAAAATACTATTATGTTCACATTGTTTGTTGTTTTGATTATATCCGAAAAAAAAAACGGTGATCACCCCTTAGCCAATTATAATTTCATAATCAGAGCCACGCTATCACTATCATTATAGTCCATCACAAGTCAACAGCTGAACATAAGCCTCCCCATAGATTGCCATAAATTACGGTCCCGAGCCACCTGTATCCATCGACTACCTGTGTATTTCATCAAGTTTCTTTGTTTGTAAAAAACGTTATGCCCACACTAGTGTTTTTCTCCTGATAATGAAGGCAGTTTACATACATAAATTGCACAAGGATAAACATCCAGACCAGGAACAATTGTTTGTAGGACGTACAAACACTTGTTCTGAATGGAATTCGAACCCGCGGCCCCTAGCGTTACAACTCGTTGCTAAGCCACTGCGTCACGAAGCCTTCAAGTCTTCACACCATCCAGAGTGTCGTAGCTTTAAACAAACTTAGATTATTTTATAACTAACCTTATTCGCCTTAAGTACATCTTTAAGCTGTTGGAAGGTCATCCTGTTCCAGATGTACTTCACGTCGCGCACCATGAAGTCCTCCACGCAAATATCATACATACCTGTAAAAATATTATTTTATAGAAGGAAGAAAAACGAGCACACTGTCCACCTGATGGTAATTATCCAATTACTATCAGGTAGAGAGTGTGCTCGTTTTTCATCTTCCACAGCGTCCGCTGTGGTCTACAGACATCTACAACTTTAAATGAAAGTAATGTTTACGGATTCTATCGCGTTTAATTTAACTTTTTAATTCTCAGCGTTTCGGGTGCTTCACGGCATTCATGGTCAGGGGGGGGGGGGGGGGGATATATAAAAAATCATTATCTATAACTTTCCTCAATTCATAATCGAAAGATAGATGCGCTGCTTATTTCCAACAAAGATAATATTGTGAATGATGTACGTAAATGCAGATTCACATTTTTTCTATCCATGTCAAAAATTACGACAGAAGCTTTTGTTTATATAGGATAAGGGTGACAAACGAGCACACAGTCTACCTGATGGTAAGTGATTGCTGTGGCCCATAGACATCTACATCTATCCTCGTTTGCGAGTCAACATGCAGATGCGTTGTCTGTCAGTCGTGAGGACTAAGATGGAATGCCTCTTTTCCAGTAAAAAGGGTCTCCAGTTCTCTACACTCACGATACGAAACACAGCAGTATTAAGCTGCTATTTTACGCTGGTATTCCGTGAAAACGTGGTCCTTCCCCGGTCGAGCAGACCCACTCGTGCTACAAATATACAATTAATATAGCTTCAGCATGGCTTTACCACATTTAAAATTATATTATAAATAATTTTAAATATAATTTAAGATTATAATATAAATTAAATTATTATTTATTAATAAAAAACGCTTTGAACATAAGATGTCATAATCTATATTTACTTAATTCGAACCATGAAGCGCATGACGAGGTGGCCGAGTGGTTAAGGCGTTGGACTGCTAATCCAATGTGCTCTGCACGCGTGGGTTCGAATCCCATCCTCGTCGAATATGATTTTATTGTTATTATAAATACAAATATTTTATCAAAATTTCAATTAAATGTTATTTATTGTATTTGATTGTTGTATAGTAAGTTATATTGAGTCTTAGTCATTTTATTGTATATTTTGAAAGTTAAAAGTAAAGTTTCAAAATAATTTATCAGTTTATGCATCCATCAAAACCACTGCTGAACATAGGCCTCCCCCACAGAATGCTTCATAGGGGGATTTCTCTATAGTTGCTACGCTTGGCAGGCTTGGCAACCGCATTATTATTATTATTTTGAGTTGCCATTAGTTAGATGCTGCTGATGTTCTGTTTCAGTTTTCCTCTGTTGCCTCTTACGACACCCAGGAGAATATACAGGGTAGGTAGTGGATATTCTAATACCGTCACTATACGGTAAAACGAATAATAATTTTTAATTCAATATCTTTGAAGGAAGTCGATGGATGCAGGTGGCTTATGAGCGTGCATTGTGGCATTCTTTGTGGGGAGGCCTATGTTCAGCGGTGGACGTGTAAATGATAATGGTGATGACGGGCTTAGGAGATAGGGAGAGAAGCAAAGGCTTCCTACGACTATAGACATCTTGGCAGCCTCTCATCTCAGAGGTACCTTGTTTAGGATCGAAGCGACATAAGAGGCAGCTGAATAACTAAATGGTGCAAATATGAGTGTCTAAGAGATGACTACATATTTATGCCAATTGCTATAGGAACTATCGATCTGTGTGGTCCACGTGCGTTGAGGTTTTTATTGGAACTGTATAACAACAAAAATAAATTATTCTAAATAATATATAATTTCTCAGACCTATTAAGAACTGATTACAATACAATGGTCATAGTTACGAAACTATGATCTAGATTTCTCACAAGGATAGATAGATATCAACGTGCTAATAACATATAATTTTATGTAAATAGTGGCTGTAAATTCACATGCTGACACAATTTATTAAGTGCTGCTAAAATGTTTATTTAATAATTTTTAAATAATTGCTTAGTTTAGTTTTTTCAATTGGTTACTTTTTAGTGTGTTTAAGTGATAACGCTATAACCCGTCAGTAATATATTTTCTTAAAAATAATGTTTAGCCGTTATTTTCTTTTCCTTTTTTATCTTCGTTTAAATTTAAGAAGGAACACTTATCCATCTTTGTGTATGATATTGAACAGTAGCGGATCCAGGGGAGTGGCTCAGTACCTTCGATGTTTTCTGAGTGAATTCGAAAACAACGGCAATGAGGGCATCCACGATTTATTTTACCACCAGGACGGCGCCACTTAAAAGTGAGGTATAATATTTGACAGATTTCATATCGGGGAAGTTAATTTGTTCGAAAAATGTAAAGGTTAATAAATACTAATGTTTCTTTCTGTACTATTATTTATATTTCATATTAATTTTTAACAGTGGTAGAGCCACGCGGCAACCTTTGCTGTCGCACGGATGGGCCGGCTCGAACCGGGGTGATACCACGACCTCACAGAAAACCAGCGTCAAGTAGAGGTTTACCCATGAAGCTAATACAAAGGGGAGACGGCATAAGCAACTGTGCACTGTGATTCTAAGTAGGTCCTGACGTCATCATAGTGGGCGTGGCTTTAGTTAGTATACTGTCAGCATTCGTCCTGTGCGCTTATGTGTTGACAAAATCGCAAATCGGTGTATTTTCGTAGTATTAAGAAGAAAGGGATGAAGTGTTGTGTTTTATTGTGTAAAAACTACTCAGATAGACGCTCTGATGTTATGGATGGCATCACATTTCATTTGTAAATATTTTTACACCTAATTTATTAAAATAGTTCTAGAAAAATCTCTTTGCGTCGGCTTTCAAATATAATTAAATATATTCGACACTAGATGGCGACACTTTGTGTCATGTGAATTAAAAATATAAAGGAGCTCAGTATTGGTAAAATAATCATACGAAGGTGCTGAAATTTGTTTTACATTCAGACATAAAGAAATTTTAATCGCAAAATATTATTTTTATAGTTGATAATCATTTTGAGAACAGGCCGTATTCTCGTCAAGTAAATCTCATAAAAATAACAAGAAGATAGGGCCCTAATTAGAATTCAATTATTTTTCCCAGTAATCCAAATTTTAATATTAAAATGCAGGAAATTGTACTTAGACTGATTTTTACGAAATGTTTAAGTTATATTTAAGTGACATACTATATGCAAAGAATCACTTAAATACAACGGCCTTGTCCTTTTGTTATTTTTTATGAGGTTTACTTGACGATAGATGGCGCCCTGTTCCCAAAATTATTATGAAAACTATAAAAATATTATTTTGGCGATTAAAATTTCTATTTGCTTCATGAGATATACGCTCCGATGCTATGGATGGCATCACATTTCATTTGTAAGTAATTTTACACCTAATTTATTAAAATAGTTCTAGAAAATTCTCTTTACGTCCGCTTTCAAATATAATTAAATATATTCCACACTAGATGGCGACACTTTGTGTCCTGTGAACTAAAAATATAAAGGTACGTAGAGCTCGGTAATGATAAAATAATCATACGAAGGTGCTGAAATTTGTTTTGCATTCAGACATAAAGAAATTTTAATCGCCAAAATATTATTTTTATAGTTTATAACATTTTGTGGACACGCCGCCATCTACCGTCGAGGTAGCTAAGCTACATTGCAACATCGATATGGAAAGATTCGAGTAGTTTTACTATTTATCAGTAGATGTAGATAATCTAAAGTGGGCGGGGCTTTGCATCCCGTCACCCCGCAAATTGTCACGCGTTGTTACATAGTGAAATTTAATTACAACATCTCCTCTTTGTATTTGCTTCATGGGTTTACCTCTGCGTTTCGCTTGGTGAGTGCAGGTGGCCGGAGGCCCTTTTTACTGGAAATGAGGCATTCCATCTTAGTCCTCACGGGTGACAACGCATCTGCATTTTGATTCGCAAACGAGGATAGATTTAAATGTCTATGGGCCGCAGCAACCACTTACCATCAGGTGGACTATGTGCTCGTTTGTCACCCTTATCCTATAAAAAAAAATAATAAGATTAATAACTATAATTTATAATTAAAAATTTTGTACAGCCGACTTCAATATAAATTATTAATAATAACTCAAAAACTATTTGCCTGACCTTAATCAATGGGACTTCATATGGGACCACATGAGAAGTACCAGCTTTCAAATAAAAAAAGAATCATCGAAATCGGTGCACCCAGTAAAAGTTATGAAGTAACACACATAAAAAAAACATACAGTCGAATTGAGTACCATCTCCTTTTTGGAAGTCGGCAGAAAATAAATAAACCAAACCACAGATATTCATAAAAGAGGAAAAATTAAAAAAAAAGTTAGTAATGTGCAAAAAATTAAAGAGCAAACCACTGAAGCATTGCTTTGTGTATTAATATTAATACTCTAGAAACTTATAAACTTTTATTAAAAACTAACTTCTCAATTAAATGACATTGTGTAACAAAAAACTTTACCTCAGTGTCAACTAGCGACATCTGGTGAGAGGAAAATTATTAGCCCTCGTCGGAAGCTATCAACCGCGCGGAACACGTTATAAAGTGTAGCACTATAGTCTTTAAATATGATAATATAAAAGTATTAATTCCAATAGGTGTCATAATTCAATTCATTCACTACTAAAAACAGGCGGTTCTACAACCACAGGTTGGCTTTTGTTGCCTGCTTCGGTGGTGTAGCGGTCGTAAACGCGGTTGCTGATCATGAGATCCCGTTCGAATCCCGGGTAGGTCCAAAATCAGTTATTGGGGTTTTTTGTTAAGAAATTCTCAGTAGTAGTGCAGCCAAGATGTTGTCGGTGTTTCATTCACCCCTGTGTTTCGAAAAGCACGTATAGCCGTTGGTCCTGTGCTTATACGTCCTTGTATTTACATGTGGTAGAGTCATACTGAAGCTATATTAGTAGTATAGTTATAGCACGAATGGGTCGGCTCGACCGGGGAAGGACCACGCTCTCACAGAATACCAGCGTAAAATAGCAGCTTAACGCTGCTGTGTTTCGTATGATGAGTGTAGAGAACCGGAGAGCCTTTTTAATGGACAAGAGGCATTCCACCTTAGTCCTCACGGGTGACAACGCATCTGCATTTTGAGTCTTTATTGAGGATAGATGTAGATGTCTGTGTGCTCGTTTGCCACCCTATCGTATAAAAAGAAATGATATCTCTCCGGTGGTGTCGGATTACCGTTGCATCGGACTATAAGAGTGAGGGAATAGAGAGTGCACCTGTGCTGGCGCATACACTCGGACACTATAATCCTGTCCAGTGCAGACGGCTAGTCTCCATTAAGACTGGTCACTGTGGTCTGGAGGTCTGGAGGACATTATTATTATTATGTGTATAGTTAAAAACACTTACGGCTGGCAGAGGAGAGCAAGTCCGGCAGGTATGGCAGCTTCTTGATGAGAATGATGCTGTCGAAGCAGGAGGGCTGCAGCAGCGACGCCGTGGCGTTGGCCGCCAGCACGGCCGCCATCACCGGCAGGATGTGTGTCACCTGCGTGCACCATGCACCATACACCATGTACTATATATCACGCGATTTGTTTAAGGGCACGCGGCTAACTGTTATGGCAATGAGGGTATTCACGACTTGTCACGCCACGAGGGCGGCGCCACTTTGAAATGAGGTGAAAATTTTGACAGATTGAATAGCGGCGGAAGTTAATTTGATCGGAAAATGTAATCTAAAATATTAATTATATTTTAAATTTTAAATTAATTAGATTACAAATCGGTAAAAATCGAACGAAACTACGGATAATTAAAAAATGAAAAAAATTGTGATAAAAATGCGAAAAATTTAAAGAGAAAACTACGGAGACATTGTTTTTTGTATTTACGCGATCTAAAAACCGACAAACTTTAATTTAAGACACCATCTTTTTTATTATAAGCCATTGTGTAATAAATAAGTTCACCTCATTTCCAACTAGCGACATCTGGTGAGCGTAAAATTATTAGCCCTCACTGTAAGATAAACGCGCACAAAGTCCATGTACAGGCTCTTGTATGTACAGATAATTGTTGTTTTGTTCTTGATATTGCCAGCAATAAATCTTGATAATACTTGTAAAAATATTTACATATTTTATCCACTTGATTTATAATAATACAGTATCTATCGGAAACTAAATTAAAAACAGATTGGAACTAACTTGATATTACAATAAAGTGTTGAATATGGTTTATGTACATAATGTACTGAATACAGTGCACCAAATGGTAAGCTTTGGTCCATAGACACCTACATCTATGCTCGTTTAAAAATCAAATTGCATTTATACAGCTGAGGACTAAGATAGAATGCACGAGGGATTCCAGACTGGTTCGTTACTCAACATACTAAGTACAGCAGCATAAAGCTGCTATTTTACGCTGGTATTTGCGTGGTCGTTCCCCAGTCGAGCCGAACAATTACTGTTGCAGCCGTAATACACTCTAGGGTGGTTGTATCATAGATATAAGCTCGCATACCAATAAAGAAGATACCGAGAAAGAAAATCACTTTACGGAGCGCTGCATATATTTCAAATGACGCGAAAACCAAACCTCCACGTTCAGCTTATTGTAAGAACACGCACTCACGTACACATTTACATTTAAAATCATTTGAAAACCCGCAAAATGATTTAGGTGCAAATGTGTAGACGTACAGTGAAATATTACAGGCTGATCAAGAAAGAAAGAAAGAAAGAAAGAAAGAAGAAATATAAATGCGTGAGTACGTGTCAAGAAGTTTTTTTTAGAGAGGGGGCAAACGAGCATGCGGCTCACCTGATGGTAAGTGACTACCGCCGCCCATGAACAACTGCAACACCAGGGGAATTGCAAATGCGTTGCCGGCCTTTTAAAAAGGAGTAGGCTCTTTTCTTGAAGGTCCCTAAGTCGTATCGGTCCGAAAAAATCGCTGATGGTAATCGATTCATATATTATCTGGTGGTAATCGATTGTTGAGCATGGTTTCGGAGTCACTTGTTATGTACGAAGTGCCCCGTCTGTATTTCTTTATTGGTCTAAGCGCTAAATGTCTAATATTATATCCATTTAAAAGTTTCTTTCTTTCTATCACGTAACTCTTATCGATTTTAACACGGCACATGTGATGTTAGGGTTGTATTTATGGTAACGTAAAATTCTTACGTACAAAAACTCTTAAGTACCAATTAAAATAGAGCCTACTTCTGGAAAATCCTAATGAGAATTTGAGCAGCAGAACCTGAGAACCGGCAACGAGCCGCCTATATTTTTATTTATATAACTGAAATGACAAACGAATTTACAGTCTACCTGATTTTATTGGCCACTGCAGTCCATAAACAAGCAACCAATTTCAACAAAGAAGACTAGGGATGCGTTGTCATCTCTGAGGAATAAGATGGAATGCTTCACAGCCTAATTGTACTGGCTCTCTATTCGGACTTGACCACAGCAGTGCAAGCACTGATATTTTGCGGCTGAATAAGGTAAGAAGTTGTACTTAACCAGACGGACTTCCAGACATAAGAGGAGTTCCACTACCAGGGTAATATAACTCGAAGAATCAATATCCCATGGGTTAAATGTAGCACTTATTTGCAAGCGCAATATTGGGCGATCCTATCTAGATGGACTAACAGCATGATGAAATGCTGGACCAGGATAGTGCTTAGTGACAGCCATGGAAGCATGCCCATGTTCAGCAAAGAACTTCAGGTGTAGTGGTAGTAAAAAAAATACCTGTCCAGTCATTTCGCTGACGATGACAATTGTGGAAACAGTATGAGTGACCGCCCCGGTGAAGGCAGCAGCACCCACCGTCGCGTATCCACCTGCGTATACAAAAATAAGACATATTACAAGAAATAATATCCACTAATACCCCGTGGATGTCGTAAGAGGTGACGGATGATAATGAGACAGGAGATGAACAGTAGCATCTTCCTGATAACAGTTCGAATAATAAGAAACTGCGGCTGCCAACCCTCTGCCAAGCGTGGCAATTGTGATAATTATTTTTTTATGAAGCAATCTATGGGGTAGGCCTACAGCTCAACTGTGGACTAAGGCTGTGATGATGATGAATCTGCCGTAAAGGCAGATAAGATAGTGTGGCGGCGCTGTCGTCGCGCCACAAGCGAAACACATCGAAGCCTAAATCGCGCTAACAAAGTTCCGAAGTCAAAGCAGCATATATAGAATAGCTCCGAACTACAATTCGGAGCGTTGGCCGCTCCCCGGGCAGAACGCCTTGCCCGGCGGGAGATCTCCCCTTTTCCTTACACGGCCACAATAGTGTACAAAATGTTTTATCCAATTAAATAGTGAAAAAATATTTTGAGAGAAAGTGTGAAGTTTACCAACAAGCATTGTGGTTCTTTCATGTTTCAAAAACTGTATCAAAAATGAGATAAGACTGCATGGCAGCTGCTACCAAACACAATATAAATAAGAAACCCAAGGTCCAACTTACCAGGCAGTATCTTCTGGATGTGACCCCCGTACGCGACTCCCAGAGGGCAGAAGTAGTGCATCACTTCTCCGGTGAAGCGGCCAAGGGAAGCCCCCATCTTGAACGCGGGCACGAAGATCCCCGCCGGCACGGGCAGCGTACACGACACCATGCTCAGGAAGAACTACAAGAGACAACTTATTTTTTGTCGTGATCAAATTTGCTTCTATAGTAGGAGGCAATTCAGAAAACTGATTATAACAAAATTTGGAGGATACAGTTTGGAGTCTCAGCTACATATCTATTATCTACATCCAACATTTTATTACACCAATCGATAGTTAAGGGACCAAGAAATTTCTCCTTATCTCAAGGATGGAGAGGGAGCGCCGCCATTTTGAGGTCGTTTCGTTACGTACACGTATTCACGTGCAACACACGGCCGTGTCGACGTCACGACCTCATCCCAATATTTTTTTTTAGAGAATGAAGGTGACAAGCGTGCACACAGTTCGCCTGATAGTTAAGTGAATGATGTGGCCCATAGACATCTACTCACGATTAAGTATCAAAATACATATGCTTTGTCAAGTTGTCACCCCTAAGAACTAAGATGAAATGTATAGTTTCCAGTAGTGGGTATCCGGTTCTCTACACTAACCATACGAAACACAGCAGCTTAAGCTGTATGTATGCTTCGCTTGTATTCTGTGAAAGCATGGTTCTTCCCCGGTCGACCCATTCGGACTACAATCATAATATAGCTACATCATGGCTCTACCACGTATAAAAAACTAAGTAACTAAAACCGTGGTTAATTTGAATTTCTATAAACTTTATTTTGCCTATTCTATATATTTTCTATACGTTGTTTTGCCATATACATTGTTTCTAGGAAATATTTTTTAGTTTTAAAAATCGCGATTAAAAAACAGGGGTTGATCGTAAAAAGGTGAAAATTTGAGGTTTTATGTATTTTTCAATGCTAAATCATAATAAAGTAAAAATAAAAAAATTGTCAATAAATAAAAACATATTTAGGCGGTGGGTCACCCTTATCATTTAGGGGTTTGAAAAATAGATGTTGACCGATTCACAGACCTACCCGATATGCACACAAGATTTCATACAAATCAGTTGAGCCGTTCCGGAGGAGTTTGGTAACAAACACCGCAACACGAGAATTTTATATATTAGATAACTGTACCATAAAGAAAATATGTGGTTGTAAATTAATCTATACAAATAAATAAAATTGAAGTGTCTGTTTGTAATGTGAAAATTACTAATTGCATATAAAAGTATATACGGTACTTATAACAAAACACAATTTTTAAAATTTTTGTCTGTCTGTCTGTTTGTTCCGGCTAATCTCCGAACCGGCTGGACCGATTTTGACGGGACTTTCACTGGCAGGTAGCTGATTTTATAAGGTTGAAAAATAATTAGCGTTCCGCCCAAAAACACAAAAACCCTAACACTAAAAAATAGCTTGTAATTGATACTCTACACGATAATAATATAATAAGTCAAAAATACAGGTCTGAATTTGGTTAAACGCATTATATAATTTTGTCAAACTAGCGACCCGCCCTGGCTTCGCCTGGGCAGGATCTGTTAATGTGGCATTATTTAGATTTTGGATAGTTAAAGACCATTTATTTTATCAATATCACCAAATTTTTCGGATTAAATGTAGCCTACATCACTCCTTACATTACTCTCTATCTGTTTTTACAATCGGTTCAGCCATTCCGAGGACTAGCCTGGACAGACAGATAGACAGACAAAATATAAAATAAAGGCTATTAATTTTTTTTTTATAGAATAAGGGTGACAAACGAGCACACAGTCCACCTGAAGGTAAGTGCTTGCTGTGGCTTATAGACATCTGCATCTATCCTCGTTTGCGAATTAAAATGCAGATGCGTTGTCAGCCGTGAGGACTAAGATACATTGCCTCTTTTCCAGTAAAATGGGTCTCCGGTTCTCTACACTCACCATACGAAACACAGCAGCATTAAGCTGCTATTTTACACTGGTATTCTGTGAGAGCGTGGTCCTTCCCCGGTCGAGCCGACCCATTCGTGCTACAACTATACTACTAATATAGCTACAAAATGACAAACATCGATGTAATTCTGTATTTCGTAGTGATGAATTCGTAAGGATAAAAATAATTATAACTTTTAACAAAAAGTAAAAATCGACTTGAAACTTATAAAAAATAATTTATTTATTTGCTACCCGTAGGGGTGGTATTTTTCCTCCAAATTTATATGGGGCCACCCTTGAAGTATAACCTGTTTAATAAAAAAGAATCATCCAAATTGGTGCACAATCTGCTTAGATATCACGTAACATTCATACAAAAAAAAAAACATACACTCGAATTGAGAACCTTCTCGTTTTTGAAGTCGGTTAATGATACGTTCGTTATAATGCTTCAGCAAGCGCCTTTTGCTTGATTGCGAGACAAACTTGCAGTCTAACTGATGATAAATGACTGCCCATGAACACTTGCAACCAACTATTAGAAACCATGAAATCTGTTTGGCATCTCCCATAGTCGCCTCTTATGGCTCTCAAAATGTGATGGTGGATTCATTTACCCGACCCAACACGATAAAGTAAATTAAGTAGTCATTTATTAGAAGTTAATTTATTTACAATTAGACAAATTAACAAGTGTAAGCAGTTTGACTTCTGTGTAAGCGCAAATTAAACTGAAACTGTGAAACTTGGTTAAGTGGGACCTGGATAAGTGAGAAACCTCCATAGCTGGAACTCATGCTTAAGTCCCGACATTTTAGCACTGAATTACCTCTGTTAGTGGAATAAAACAAACCCCTATAACTGGAATTAGTTCTTCGATTATAACGTCATAATTACCTCTTATAATTGATACAGCGTGTGTTTCACCTCTTTTACTGAGACTATAATATTTTGTGTACCGTTTTGTTTATTAATTTTTATTCTACTCGCAAATTCCGCACCTGGCTAATTGTTTAAAAGTGATCTACAGTTTTAGTTTGGTTTTGCTGTCGTCCGGATGTCTATATATTATGTTTACAAAATACGTTATTTTATTTAATAATCGAACCTCTATAACTGAAATAACCTCTATTACCAGAGGTAACCCTCTGTAAATGAGACAGATATTTATTTATACCTTGATATCTGAGACAATGGGTAAGTGGAATAATTCTTTAACTGAGACAAATTTGCAGGTCCCTTAAGATACCAATTATCCAGGTTTCACTGTATATAAATTGGAACATATACGTATTTTTCTACTTAAAAAGAAATGACGAGGTGGCCGAGTGGTTAAGGCGTTGGACTGCTAATCCAATGTGCTCTGCACGCGTGGGTTCGAATCCCATCCTCGTCGATAAATTTTGTACATTTTGATTATGATTTCGTAGATAAAAATAGATATAGAAACCTCAAAACATGAGAGAGCATTTCGTATATGGATATTCTTAGTGCAATATTAATTTGTTTGTGTTGCTTTGGGGGAATCATATTAAAGATATTAAAATTATTATTTTTCATTCTATTAAATATTATTTACAATTTATTTAGAGATTTAATAAAGGCTTTATTAATTATATTAAAATGACAAATAATTAACAGTCCCTAGACGGCGAGTTCTGTAGTCAATGACCACTTATGCGCTTAGCAACGTCTGATTTCCTACAACGTTAACTCTAATAGAAAAAAAATATATAATTAAACTTTTAATTAGTTTGGAAAACCCAAAATTGCACGCCTCATGAGCGTTTCATTTAATTTTCATGAAAAAAATAAAAATAGTGAGGATAATTTCGACTTTCATTAATAACTTTTAAAAGATCTTAAGTTCAATAACAAAAATCAACAGGGATCCTCCTTAGGATGTATGGAATCTTATTTAATACTATATATATATATCTCAATTTATTGCTTACATTTCTATTAAGCGAGAAAACTCAGGGACGCACAGACCAACGGACGACAGTCCATATATTTTTTCAACTACATTTTTTGTTTTGTAATCTAAAGTGAATCAATTATAAAATAAACTAGTCTTATAATTAAATGGCTGTAGTTATTGTAACATTAATAACAATATGGATTTGATGTCTAGCTAAAAGTATAAGAATGATTTTACGTAGCTAAATTGAGGTATGGCCACATATCGAGAGTAGAGAACTCCCTCACGTTGTGAGGCGTGTAAAAACTTAAAACCGACTGCAAAGAACTCAAAAGAATAATTAAAAATTACAAATGTTGCACAACCGACTTCAATATAAATTATTAAGAATAACTCAAAAACTATTGGTCAGAACTTGATCAATTTATATGGGACCACATGTGAAGCACCTGCTTTCAAATAAAAAAAGAATCATCGAAATCGTTCGTTCATCGTTCCAGCCAGTAAAAAGTTATGAAGTAACACACATAAAAAAACATACAGTCGAACTGAGTACCATCTCCTTTTTGAAGTCGGTAGATAAAAAAAATCACATTATAAGTCAGTGCTAAGTTAAGGTGTCTAGAGGAATTAAAACGCCCAATTCAGAATGTGAAATTATCTTATCATTTTTAGTTCTTTAATTTTTTTATTATTTTTTTTAGAGAAATATCACAATTTCAATGACGTCTGAATAGTTACTTTGAAACTAAAAGGGTGACCAAATTGAATAAATTCTAATCCCTTATTAATTTATTTTGTCACCCTTAGGAGTGTATTTTTTCTACAAATTCATTATTTATTTATTTATCTTTCACAAAGGTACTTAAATAACTAATAAATATCAACTTATAAGCTATTTATTAAAATAGGTTCACAATTTACAAGATCGGTTCGACCAGGTTCTCAGAGAATGCTAGCGTGAAATAGCGTGTTTCATATGGTGAGTGTAGAGAACCGGAGACCCTTTTTACTGGTGACGAGGCATTCCATCTCAGTCCTCAGGGATGACAACGCATATGTATTTTGATTCTTAATCTAGGATAAATGTAGATAGTTAAGGCCCACAGCATATTGTCGACATTCCACGTATTAGAACCAAACGGTTTGCTTCGTCTTTTGTAATGCGTACAGCAGAGGAGTGGAATAATTTGCCGGCGTCTATCTTTCCGTCCGAATACAATCTGGGCGTCTTCAAGGCAAGAGTGAATGAGCTTTTGTTACGCCAAGACAGTGCAATTTACTATCTAAGGCTGCATCATCACTTACCACCAGATGGGATTGTGGTCAAGCACTAGCTTATAATAAGTAAAAAAAAAATGCTAGCTATCACTCAAGCCTAGTGGATAGATTATATATCCACTAGGTTTCAGTCGTGTAATACTTACGATAGAGAAGAAGTAGATGACGAGACATCCATAAAGGTCCACTTCTGGGGTCTGCCAATGCGATACAATGGACGCCTGCTCAGCTGTCAGCTCGTCCGACCACGTGAAGTTAGCGAACAGGGACAACACCTGGAAGTTATTGAAATTGAGATAAATGGTTGCTCTTATGGGGAAATGCGGACCGTGAGACTTTTGAAAATTAAGTATCTGTAGAAACTATCGCTGTCGCTCTGCGAGCGCTCGGCGTACATTAAGGACAACTGCAGATCTGATTGAATAGCCTAAGTAAAAAATCATAATTCGAGGTTTAGCTTTCTACCATTTCCTGCTGCAATATTGGACCAATATAAAAGATAAACTGAATCAGAAGGATATATACTTTTGTCCCTATGCTTTTCTTTTTTCAGTATTAGTTATCAAAATTGAACCCTAGTACTCTGTTTATAATGTATCATCAAAAAGAAAAACATAGGAACATAGAAGACACATTTATTTCACAGTAAAAATTTCTTTAAGGCCATAAAACCAGAAAGAAAACAGGCGAGAGCGTTTGTATGGTGAAAAGACCACCCACATTTCCTCTGAACTATTTATGATATCAAAGTAACCTTTTTCGTGTAAAATTGCAAACCAACAAAAATATTGTTGAAAACTTTTTCATATTTGCTGTAGTTCATGAGATAATCATCAGAAAACATTAATTATATCAGTTTTGTGATTAGTGGGATAGTTCTATAAATTCTCGTAGTAGTACTTCCTCCACGTTTATGCTCGCCTAGTACTATTCCTACTTGTCATTATAAAAAAGTAAGTAGAAGATTCTGGAACTATCTGGGGCCCTATATAAGGTCGGTATAGAACGCAACCGGAGTAACTGCACCCCCTTTCCCTAAAGGGCTTCCGATACGGCAGTAAGACCCTCCAAGCCAAAGCCAGTCCCACAGGTGGTGTTTAGTGGATAGGCACTTCATATTGAGCCCCACATAACCACGCAGCCAGCTGCGTGGTATGCTACGAGCATTCACCACCTCCCTCCCCCGCTTCCCGGAGGGTAACCCCATGCTTTGGGCGCAAAAAAAAAAGCAACCGGAGTCAGTGTTGAAATACAAGCGAATACTTCGAAGCGATACAACTGCGAACTAAAGTGATCAGTAGTACAATTATGTTTTGTTATTAGTGTGGTATTAAGTTGTAATTAGTGCTCTGTAATTAAAGTGTCAATTTTGGTAGTTCACTCAGCAGTTTTTAATTGTTTCGAACCCCAAGCTCCTAATAGTATATATTGAATATTTTATTTTTGTAAAATTTAATATAAACTGTTGTGTACGTCTTCGTTTTCATTTCATCATCAAAAAAATTTAATAGCTACTTATGACAACCAGCAGTTAGACAGCTGGATAGAATATCATCAAAAAATACATCCTGCTCCTGTTTGCCAATACAACTCCTGGGTTTAATGTTTAAGAGATAGGTAAAAAACTCAATGTAGTTCACCTGTTCCTGGTTGCCAAGATCTGCGGCCATGAACCTGCCGATGCCGGGTGGGAACAGCACCGACATCACCGCCAGCGTCATAAACCCGGGGTAGATGAAGCGGCTGGCGAATTATGTACAAAGTTTTGACAGTCATTGATATATCATCATTATTGTTATTTAATGTGTAACTTAGATGTTGTAATGTAAGATGTTAGATGTTTACGTGTTTACGCCATACTGCTGCTATATTATGGTTGCATCACGAACGGATCTACTCAACCGGGGATGGACCACGCTCTCACAGAATACCAGCGTAAAATAGCAGCTTACCGGTGCTGTGTTTTGTATGGTGAGTGTAGAGATTTGGAGATCCTTCTCAATGGAAACGAGGCATTCCATCTTAGTTTTCAGGGGTGGCAACGCATCTGCATTTTGATTCTTAATCGAGGATAGATGTATATGAAGATATTTATCCTCGATTAAATATCAAAACGCAGGTGCGTTGTCATCCTTGAGTCCTAAGATGGAATGCCTCGTTTCCAGTAAAAAGGGATGTTCGTTACATATGCCATTTAATTATGTAAAAGTAATCATGAAAAAAGAGAAAATCTCAATGTGGAGGTAACGTAAACAAAAAAAGAAATGAAATGGAAGTTGTACGTTAATAAAACCTTGACGTTAACACTTACTTTTTCTGCAGGAAGTTGCTAAGAGTCTTTGTGTTTCTCATGAACAGCACGTACTGACGGTGCAGGAACACCCACAGAGCAGCTAATAGACCGCAAATGATCCTGAAAGGGAGAACGAAGAATTAGTTACGTTATACTTCATTTTTAAGATAAGTTAGGGCCACAAACAAGCACACAGTTCACCTGATGGTAAGTGGACAGCGTAAAAAAATAATAATAATTTCTCCAGAACCAGTTTTGGTCTAGTCGCGGCGGCCAATCTCAACAGAGACTAGCCATTTTTTTTTTTATAGAATAAAGGTGACAAACGAGCACAGTCCACCCGACGGTAAGCGGCTGCTGTAGCCCATAGACATCCACATCTATCTTCGTTTGCGAATTAAAATACAGAAGCGTTGTCAGCCGTGAGGACTAAGATAGAATGTCTCTTTTCTAGTATAAAGGGTCTCCGGTTCTCTACAATCACCATACAAAACACAGCAGCATTAAGCTGCTATTTTACGCTAGTATCTTTTGAGAGCGTGGTCCTTCCCCGGTCGAGCCGACCCATTCGTGCTACAACTATACTATTAATATAGCTGCAGCGTGGCTCTATCACGCACAGGACAGGATTATAGCCCCCAGCACAGGTGCACTCTATATTCTCTCACTCTCATAGTCCGATAGGACGGCATTCCTACACCATCAGAGAGAAATCATAGGCAGAAATATCGTCTTCATCTGCTTCCCCAGGTACGGGGGGTGAAACACAGACTACTTCTTGACACCGGGCTGCTATTGAGCATTTCTTGACAGAAGGAGCCAATAACTGATTTTGGATGCCAGAACTGGCCACGATCAGGAACCCTGTTTACAATTACTGGACCAACGAGACAGTCAAGCGGGCAGCATACAATTACCATAGATGTATGTGTATGGACAGCCCATAGGCATAGCCTATATGTATCTATATTGGAATAAGAAAGAAATTGCATATCATCCTTGAGGACCAAGATAGAATGCCTCGTGTCCGAGTAAAAATGGTCTGCGGTTCTGTTCACTCACTCACCTTACAATACCCAGCAGAATTAAGCTGCTATTTTACACGGGTACTCTGTGAGAGCGTGGTCCTACTCCGGTCGAGCCGACCCATTTGTGCTACAACCATAATATAGCTGCAGCGTGGCTCTACCACGTATAAAATATCAAAATATCTTGTATAATATGTATTTCTATATTTGTAACTGAAATGCATTTATTTGATAATCTATAATATAAAAATGAATCGCTGAATGTGTTGCTAAACGCAAATCTCGGGAGCAGCTGAACCGATTTCGCTAATTCTTTTTTGAATATTCCATGAAGTACGAAGATGGTTCTTACGGAGAGAAAAATTTTAAAAATTGCCTGAAAAAGTCTATAAACATCACTATTCTATATTCCCATAGAAAAGAAAAGAAAGTGTTTTATAATTTTCATTTTTTGACATAATGTAATTGTTGACTTATCAACTTTCTTTTTTCTTTTTTTATTCTACTAGCTGACCCGGTTTCCCGAATAGCAGACTCAGTATTGAAAAAAAATAAAATAAAGAATCGACTGTTAGGCCGTACGAAGTTCGCCGGGTCAGCTAGTATTATATAATTATAATAAATATGTCGTGTATACTTTTAAATAACTTACGGGCTTATAAATCCTCTGATATAAGGCGGTCAATTGGACTTTTATATAAATTCTTTTTTTTTCTTTTTTTATCGGTGTACAATAAAATATAATTTATTAATTCATTATGTTACACAAATTTTGACAATAATGATTTCTTATACTTATGCGAACACTACACATTGAATAAAACTACTTTTTTAGGGATTTTATCGCGTTTAATTGCAGTCCACTGCAAGACTTCAAGACACAGTAAGTTTATTCTGTGTAGATCGGACCAAAATTAATAATTAAAATGCTGAAGGTACTCCGAGTTAACTCTGACATCGGGACGTCAGTCACCTCAGTCCCCCGTGACCACGGTTGCTGGAAAGCAACCGAAATGTCGGGAATATAAAATAAGTTAATTAAACGCGATAAAATCCGTAAAAAAGTAGTTTTATTCAAATTTTGACAATTTTGAAGTTTGAATTTTGACTCAAGATTGTCTATGAATGATTTTTACTCCTAGGCTATTTGATAAAAGTTGCATCTATCTACAAAGTCTACATTGTCACCTCTGAGGACTGAGGTGGAACTCTTCAAACCCATACATCCACTGCTGTGTTCAGAATCCAGCAATGGGTTAATTGTTGCTACCCGATAGAGGTCAGTGAAACATACCTCAACAATCCTTAAGTAGAAAAGGCGGATAGTTCGAAAGCAACAGTTGATTCTGTAAATAATCTTAAAGTATTTTTTAAATGCAAAGGCACTGACCCGAGCAGCACGAAGACGGCGAACTCCTGTGGGTCGAAGGGGAAGTCTTGTGGCAGGTTGGTGGGGAACAGCGGCTTCACAGTTGGCAGCGCGCCCGACCACACCGACAGCAAGCGGAACATCTGTGGTCATAATCAATTCTATGTAGCTTCAAAAATTCTAGATAGTTCTAGAACAATCTCGATTCCAGGGTCATCTTTGAGTGTATGAGATATCGAATTATATTTAACAGAGTTCAAAAAGGAGGTACTCAATTCGACTGTATTTTTTATATATTTTTTTTATGTGTGTTACCTCAACTTTTTTCCATGTAAACCGATTTTGATGACTATTTTTTTATTTAAAAGCTGGTGCTTCAAATGTGGGCAATAAATTTGATCAAGGCCTGACTAGTAGTTTTTGACTTATCCTTAATGATTTATATTGAAGTCGGTTGTACAAAATTATTAATTTTACCACTTGTTACATACAGTAAGGGACGTTTCTTACCTGATGGTGCTACATTGTAGCGTATTTTTAGCCTTCTAAAAGGAAGTTCGCTATTCGACTCCATGTTTATTGTATGTATGTAACGTGATTCTTAGTCAATCGTATTTAATTATCCTTTTTTTTTTATTAAATTGGTAACACTTATACTACAGATGTAGTCTTATGCAAATTTGTAAAAAAAATCTACATATAAATCATTAACTTAATGATTTACGCGAATACTACACGTTAAATGAAACTAACATTACGGATTTCATCGCGTTTAATTTTAACTTTTTATATGTAGTGAAGAGAGTACAAACAAGCATGCGAAGCGACACACGACACGCTGATGGGGAAGTGTTTACTGCTGTCCATGAACATCCGCAAAACCAGAGAAGTAACAGGTCGGCTATTGTGCGCCACTCTTTGCAGGCATGTGGGCAACCAACACACAGTTTATTATTTTATTTTAGAGTTTGTGGTTGCGCTGTCATGGCACCGTAAGCGAAAACGCACCGAAGCCTAAATCGCGCTATCAAAGTTCTGGAATTAACGCGCTATATATAGAACAGTTCCGAAATGAAACAGAGCGTTGACCGGAACACTGCCCGGCGGGAGATCTCCCCTTTTCCTACCACGGCCACAGGTTGTTATCAGGAGGATGCTGTTGTCTATCTCCTGTTCCGTTCCCTTTGTCGCCTCTTACGACACTCACGGAATTACTGGATGATATGGGTGGATTCTTTTACATCGCCGCTACACGGCCGACACATTCACCCATACATATAAAGAACAATCTAAAAAAAACTCACAATGGCGCTGCAACAAGCAGCGAAGAAACCCCGCCAATAGTTTCTGACAGCGAAATACGTAGTCGTTACTTCGATTGAGAATAACACACCTGCGGAAGATATCATTTTATAAAATTGTGTGCAAGAAGCTAACAAAACTATTATCATCATCATCATCATCATCATCATTAAATAGCCCTATACAAGTCCACTGGCGAACATAGGCCTCCACCAAAGAGTCCCATAAAGCACGCTCTTGAACCACGTGCATAAATCGACTTCCTGCATGTCTTACTAGTTCGTCACTCCATCTATTGGAGGCTGCCACTCGAGAACCTTTCTTTCCCATCGGTTATCGGTTCTTCATATATTAATCATAAGATACTAAAAGCCTACAAAGTATTATGGTTGCGGTACGAATGGGTCGACGCAACAAGCGATGTTACAGAGGTCACTCGAACAGAACACTAGAATGAATAAGCAGCTTTATGCTGCTGTGAATGTAGAGTAACCGGAGGCTCAATTTTTATTGGAAACGAGGCATTCCATTTTAGGTCTTCAGCTGTGACTACACATCTGCAATTAACGTTTTTTCATTGATTTTCAAATAAGGATAGGTATAGGTATCTAAGGACTACAGTTCACTTCTTCTATCAGGTAGACTGTGTGCCCGTCGTCAGAGAATTTTAAAATGGAATAATTACCTGACAGATTGACTGAATGAGCTGTGAATTTTATGTGATTTAAAAGGTTCCTTTTTATTGCATGTGGTGGAACCATCTACGGCCCCGTCTTGCTTCTGTAGGTAGCGCACCTACAGAAGCAAGACGGGGTGTGTTTGTGGTGTGAGTATGGTTTGGCACAGCACACCCATCATGGGTGTGCTGTGGTTTGATGTAGTGTAATGTGGTGTGATGTGATGTGGATGTGACGTGGTGTGGTGTGGTGTGGTGTGGTGTAGTGTGGTGTGGTGTGGAGTGGTAGTGTGGTTGTGTAACCTCCGACCGGTATGGCGAAGCAGGAGGCGCTGCCTAACGCGCTGGCAGCAGCCAGCATGTCGCTAGTGCGCGACTCTTTGCTGTAGGCACGCTGTGTGAGTGTGGTGTGGTGCGGTGGTGTAGTGTGGTGGTGCGGTGTGGTGTGGTGGTGCGGTGTGGTGTGGTGGTGTGGTGTGGTGTGGTGTGGTGTGGTGTAGTGTGGTGTAGTGTGGCGTAGTGTGGTGTAGTATGGTGTGGTGATGTAACCTACGACCGGTGCTGCGAAGCAGGAGATGACACGGCGAGACGACTGCAGACGCGCTGAGTGTGTGTGGTGTGGTGTGGTGTGGTGGTATATTGGCGTGGTGTGGTGTAGTGGTTTGGTGTGGTAGTGTGGTGGTGTTACCACCGACCGGTGCGGCGAAGCAGGAGGCAACGCCCACCGTGCAGGAGGCGCCCAGCATGTCGCGGGTGCGCGCCTAGTTGCTGTAGGCGCGTTGTGTGAGTGTGGAGTTAGTGTGGTGTTAGTGTAGTGTGAGTGTGGTGTTAATGTGGTGTGTGTGTGGTGTGGTGTGGTGGTGTGGTGTGGTGGTGTGGTGGCGTGGTGTGGTGTAGTGTGGTGGTGTGGTGGCGTGGTGTGGTGTAGTGTGGTGGTGTTACCTCCGACTGGTGCGGCGAAGCAGGAGGCGACGCCCACCGCGCAGGCGGCGGCCAGCATGTCGCTGGTGCGCGACTCGTTGCTGTAGGCGCGTTGCAGACGCGACACGCAGCGCGACAGCAGCGCACCTACCATCGATGCGATATGAACCGATGGACCCTGCCCCCCAACATGTCCGACTCAATGTTTAATGTCTTTATGCATGAAGTCCGCCAGGTTATCATAGCCGAAGTGAATTAATGTGTTTGCCTAGGAGTTGGTGTACCCACACCGTAACCACTATTTTACCTATATAGGGTGAGACCAAAATGAAATTACACCAGTGTGCGTGTAATGTGCATGGGTGTGAAACAAATAGTGTTGCACTGACATTGACTGCCTTAACTTCAATTACCGATTGCTGTTTCTTTGTGCCTTCTGTTTTACGCAGATGATGTAAGTAAATATTTTAATCCGACTACGGCGAATCGATGGTTACGATTTTAACATTGCCGAACATATTCAGACCAGAACAGATTAAAATAAAATGAGTTTGTATGTAGCTGTAGTTATTACTAGGATGTCCTTAAATGTAGAGGGTCTTTAATTTTGAACTTTTCTACTAGTAATAAAATTAATTTCAACAGGTAACTTATAAGTGTTTGTGGTTGCATTTGTTGTAGTTTTTCTCTTATTGCATCTGCATGAGCAAAACATTTTTCTTCAAAGTACTTGCTGCATATGTTCGAATATTTTCGTTTGAGAACCCATTCTTCTCTATATTATGTGAAAATTTGTCACAGCATCCACTTAACATCAGGTTGATTGTGTGCTCATTTATCACCCTAATCGATTACAAAAATCATACGATAAAAAGTATATTTAGCTACGGGACTCTAAAAATTTTAAAAAATATTACAAAATTGAAATAAGGGTGTATGCAAGGCATAACTTTTCCAGTTAGGGACATATCGATAACATCTTATCGATAGTGGCAATCTCTAATAAAGTGAGGTTAGAAGTAGAAGTATTTCACGTATTTGTAAATGTTGTTACGAGCTTGGGGTTCGAGACATTTAAAAACTGCAGAGTGAATTACCAAAATCGACACTTTAATTACAGAGCACTAATTACAACTTAAACCACACTAATAATAAAAAACAATTGTACTACTGATCACTTTAGTTTGCAGTTGTATGGCTTCGAAGTATTTGCTTATATCGAAAATTTAATACTGCCTCGGTCGCGGTCTATACCGGCCTTATATAGGCCTCAGATAGTTTCCAGAATCTTCTACTATAGAAACTTCTAGAAGGTTCGAGTACATATCAGTCCCGATTGACTAAGTGTCGATAGTTCCAGAAAGTTCTTCCATGGAAATTTCTAGAGGGTTCTTGACTCTCCTAGTTCTACTACTAGATACTAGAGGGCGCTAGTGGTATTAATTGTGGCACGCAACAATATTTTAAATTCAATAGATGGTTTCGGTATCGCCCATATTTCTACACTATGCTCTTTCTCTTTTGCATTTCCAATTTATTCTAACGTCAGCTTATAATAAATCTATATTACAGACTGTGGGGCATTTCATCTTAGTCTGCACAGTTTTATCGAAGTTCGCTAGTTTGTGTCAATGGACTGCAATACCTACTTACCATCAAAGCATCAAAGACAGTCTGTAATCGGACACAGTAATTTGACGGCTATGTGGCGCAGTGGCTTAGCATTGAGTTGCCGCTCTGAGAGCCACGGCTAGAATCCCGCACCGAACAAGTATTTGTATGGCCTACAAATAATTGTTCCGGGTCTGGATGTTTGTCCTTGTGAACCTTGTGTCTGTAAAAAGCCTCGACGATACTGGCGAAAATCCTAATGTGAGGGTAACGTTTAAAAAAAACCAAAGAAAAAAGAATAGTTTATAATACTTCGATTATGCAATAATCGTAAGTATTAAGTGATAGATAGATAGACAGATAAAGCATTTATTTGTTTCTCCAATCACACACGTAAATTCAGTAACTAAACTAAGTACAAAGTAACATATTACGAAAAAAATAATTTACAAAAACTTAAAATCTAAATGTACATGTGTGTTGCAGTTTGACAAATGGGTCCTAGCTCAGCGATTAATATTGCTCAGAGAGCAAACACTGATTTTCAGCTATTACCCTCGAGATCACGAGAAGAAAATGAGCACAATAGTTAATCAGTGTAAATATGTATATTTGAAAGATGTGTCCTTTCAGCCCTACGATTTGCATCCTGGGTTTAATTTAGTGAAATTACTGAAGGGGCGTTTAAGTGCGTAAGTTTGCGTACAAATTAAACTATGATGACATTCATAATTATTCGAAAGTAGTAACTTACCTCTTTACCCAGAGGTAGACCAGAGCCCAGGGTTGCGGTGAGTCCAATCACTTTGGATATAAGAGCTCTGAATGTCAGGTACTCCTTCAAGTGTACACCACGGAGAATTGTCTTCATTTCCGGTATGCCGGACCCTGAAAAAGAATTTCATTTATTGTAGACTAGCTGTGCTCGCGACTTTGTTCGCATAAAAACATTATTTTGCTTTATTTAATTAGGAATTCTGGGATTAAATTAAAATGCGCTTGGTGACTCAACACCACTTGAACACATTCGTTCCTATATTTCAAAATAATAATTACAACTTTTGATAGAATGAACCGATTTGAAAAAAATCAAGACTTATTTTCTTAACGATTGTTTAGATCACTGCTGGCCGGATGAGGAAGCTCAAAGTCGCTCAGCCAGCTATGGAGAGGGCTATGCTCGGAGTTTCTCTGCGTGACAAACTTAGAAATAAGAACATCCGCAGTAGAACCAGAGTGACCGACATAACCCAACGAATTAGTAAGCTGAAGTGGCAATGGGCCGGCCATATATCTCGAAGAACCGACAACCGATGGGGAAAAAAGTTCTAGAGTGGCGGCCTCGTACCAGCGGACGAAGCACAGTGCGTCCCCCACTAGATAGAGTGACGACCTGGTAAGACATGCAGGAAGTCGATGGATGCAGGTGGCTCAGGACTGTGCTTTGGGACATTCCTTGGGGGAGGCCTATGTTCAGCAGTGGACTTGTGAAGGGCTGTAATGATGATGATGATGGTTTAGAAGATTAGTAGCGATCACCCCATTCCCAGGGGTTACTAACAATCATGTAGTATCATGTAGCAGTATAATAAACCATAATACTGTAACAGCCGTATAAGACAAGATTATATCACATTTATTTTAACCTAATTTAAATACCCATGGTCGCGGTGACTGAGATCTTAGGCATCCCGATTTCAAAGTGTACTCAAGACGTCGGGAACATTAGTTAAAAATGCTAGCAATAAAATACGTAAAATTTCATTTTGAACATATGAATAAATGCTTCATTCGATATAACTTTTTGTTATATTATTCTTAGCCAGCGCTTAGCTACAATCCCACCTGATAGTAAGTGGTGATGTAGCCTAAGATGGTGAGGCGCACTGACTTAACAAAAGCCTATTCACTCTTGCCTTGAAGACACCCGCACTGTAATCGGATGGAAAGACAGATGCTGGCAACTTATTCCACTCCTTTGCTGTACGCATGATGAACGATGTAGCTAACCGTTTAGTTCGAATGCGTGGTAAGTCAACAATGTAGGGATAGAGACTGGCCGAACGTCTGGGTTATCTGGTGGAAGGGAGAGGGACGAATTAAATTATGCAACTCCTGCGCACACTCCGAAATGCATCCTGTAGAATACCGAAAAGCTGCCTACTTTGCGCCTGTGTTTGAGGCTGGTAAGATTGGTTTTAACCAAATTCGGGTCACTAATAAGCCTCTTATAGCACGCCTTATATTTGTATGCGACCCAATATGAACCATACTTGTGATTATAGTCATTTAGATAGATAGATAACTCTATATTGTACACCAAAACAATACACGAACGAAAGAACAAGGAAAATATAAAGATTTTAAGTGTCAAAATAGGCGAACTTATCGCTTGAAGCGATTTCTTCCATACCATTTTTTTTGCGATCTATACTGACGTCTTAGTTTAGCGCCTATATTTGTTACGAAAGTATAAACCCACGTAAATCGTTGCGAGAACACGTATTGTTCTTTAGGACTTATTAATTTCTGTCAAATTAATTGTGCAACTCCGATAGTGATTTTCCTCTAAAGTTCTACGTTTGGCTGTACCATTACGTGACAAAACGGAAAGAGTGCCTCAAGAGGGGAATAGTTCCGAGGCTACCAGCGGATACCTTCTCCAGGACAGTATTGTATCGTCTAGCCCAGGCAACGTACACACATATTCATACAAGCACCTCACAGAAAACCAGCGTGAAGTAGAGGTTTACCTCTGCGTCTCGCTTGGTGAGTGCAGGTGGCCGGAGGCCCTTTTTACTGGAAATGAGGCATTCCATCTTAGTCCTCACGGGTGACAACGCATCTACATTTTGATTTGTAATAGAAGATAGATGTAGATGTCTATGGGCCGCAGCAACCACTTACTATCAGGTGGACTGTGTGCTCGTTTGTCACCCTTATACTATAAAAAAAAATATTTTCTCTGTAAGAACAGGTGCGATCCTATCCTGTCCAAAGCAAAAAGTTGTGGTCACTTGTTGAAACTTCATCACATTCACAATGACTACTTATTCGTCATCTGAAGAACTGGTGTTCTTCGTTGTTTCAGACGACCTAGAACTTCAAACACCCGGATGATGACGTAAGGAGGAATCTGTTTGTTTATTAAAACATAAAATTGTAGACAAGAAAAAGTTGTCCCGAGTGGTGGCCATGTCCAGGAGGGGTACTAGAGAGGCCCTTACTATATAGAATGATAACCCATCTGATGGTAAGTGGCTTCTGTAGTCCATGGACACCTGCAGCCAAGAGGCTACGGATGCGTTGTCACATATGAACACTGAGATGGAATGCCTCGCAAACGGTAATTATACTGACCCTCTATGCCCTTCAAATCGTAACACGGCAGTGAAAGCACTACCATTTGGCGATAGAAATAGGTAAGATGGTGCCCACCACAGACGGACTACAAACAATCAGAAAAGGAGTTTTACCAGTTACGAGCAGGAAATCGACAGACGCAAGTGGTTTAGAAACACGTTTCGTGAGCATATTTATAGAATAGGCAGTTCAGTAGTGGGTTTGTTGATATCCTGTCATGATAATGATTAGTAGACGCAGAATACCAGTGTAAAATAGCAGCTTAACACTGCTGTGTTTGCTTTGGTGAGTGTACAGAAGAGGAGACTCTTTTTACTGGAAAAGAGGCATTCCATCTTAGTCCTCACTGGTGACAACGCATTTGCATTTTGCTTATTTATTGAGGATAAATGTAGATGTCTATGGGTCACAGCGACCACTTACTATCAGGTGGACTGTGTGCTCGTTTGTCAACCTATCATATATAAAAAAGACATGTGTCAATCATGAATGATTCGTTCATTTGACCCGGGTCGCATCAAAGTATTGATGATTGCAATTACAGTTTTTAAACGTACCGGATCAAACGATTGATAGGACCTACGACGAAAAAGTATAGTAATGTCCGACGAGTAACATTATTCAGCGGGTCTTCACAAATCACAGAGTACTGGAACTCGAAATGATCCATTCGAATGTACGACCCGATTGACCCGGTTCGTAAGATGAATCAATACTTGAATCATCAGTTCACTACTACCCGATCACTATAAATGAAGGAATGACACATGTACACAAATACAATATTAAACTCACCTATACTCTGCGCGGCGACAATATGAACAAATCCAGCGGCGAAAAGAATAAGGCAAACGGGCAGCGAAACCCATGCTACGTACTGACTGAAAGTGGAGGTGGCCAAGTCCCGGTACATCCACATTCGAGCTGTAATCATAAAGTGTAGAGTTTGAACACAGAAACTACTGCTAAAATATTTCAAGCAAAACACTACAATTCAAAAACTTGTCCTTGACGCAATAACCGTTGATGTAGACATGTCTTTTCAACTCAGCAGACAGAATAGAAACGTTATTTAGGAGTTCATGAGGTCCCGGGTTCGAATAACGAGTCAATCCAAAATTAGTAATTAGGTTTTCCTGTTAAGAAATTCTTAATAGCAGCCAGGAGTTAGGAAGTTGGCGGTGTTTTTTTTTTATAGGATAAGGGTGACAAACGAGCACACAGTTCACCTGATGGTAAGTGGTTGCTGCGGCCCATAGACATCTACATCTATCGTCTATTACAAATCAAAATGTAGATGCGTTGTCACCCGTGAGGACTAAGATGAAATGCCTCATTTCCAGTAAAAAGGGCCTCCGGCCACCTGCACTCACCAAGCGAAACGCAGAGGTAAACCTCTAATTCACGCTGGTTTTCTGTGAGGTCGTGGTACCACCCCGGTTCGAGCCGGCCCATCCGTGCGACAGCAAAAGCTGCCGCGTAGCTCTACCACTGTTGGGTTTTACCCTCGTACCTTGGAAAGCACGTAAAGGCGTAGGTCCTGCGCCTGGTCTCCACTCGGTCGTGTCGATTTGACGTCCTATCGGACTATGTAAGTGAGGGAATATAGAGAGTGCACCTTTCCTTGCGCATACACGTGTGAGTATAAAACAAATTTAACATAAATTATGCAATTATTACCTCTTTACACACATGAAAGCATGAAAACAAAATTACATTAAGATTAATGCACGAAAATTAAGTGAATTCCGTATAGTGTAAAAGTAAGTAAAATTCGTGGATACCGTCAATGGCTGCGCGCCCTTAAACGAATGACGGCATACACGACGTTTTCTGCCACCAGGGTGGCGCCACTTACAAATGTGGTAAAATATTTGACAGCTTTCATAGCGGGAGAAGTTCATATGTTCGTAAACTGTTTCTTTCTGAAATATTAGTTATATTTTATACTAGCTGTTCCCCGCGACTTCGCCCGCGTGTAACTTACGTATTTAATTTTTTTGCGCCGAATACTAATTCTTTTTCCTTAATAAAAGTAGCCTAAGTTACTCCTTATAACATCAGCTATCTACCAGTGAAAGTCCCGTCGAGATCGATCCAGCCGTTTCGGAGATTAGCCGGAACAAACACACAGAGACAAAAATTGAAAAATTGTTTTTTTGTTATAAGTACCGTATAATATACTTTTATATGCATTTAGTGAAAAGTTGTTCTTTTGACATTACAAACAGACACTCCAATTTTATTTATTTGTATAGATATAGATTAATTGCTTAGTTAAAAGTTAAAATTACGGACTACTACGTCTCACTCCTGGGCACAGGCCTCTCATTTCTGAGAATATTTTACTTCAGAAGAATAGTTTAGTGTTATACATTTATAATCTGGACTAGAAGGCAGCACTAGTTGCTGTTGTCTCTGGTTTAACTATCTATCAGTCAAATTAGAAGTAATAAAAATATTTTCGTTTATAGTCTATTCGCTTAGATACGATCGCCTCTGTGTCGCGCCGCCTTGTCACACGCATCTCGTCAAAGGCGCCGCTACGATATCAAAGACCAACGCGTGCGGTGTACACCCGCAGGAGAATTTGGCATTTTAAAACAAAGCACCGTAGTGAAAGGTCCTATGCTACCTAACTTATGTTTATTATTTATATTAAATATTTAGTTTTTTATTACAACAACCAATAAAATATATAAACAGAATACTATTTTATTCTTAGAATAGAAAAACATTAATTTAATAAACACAGTAAAAATAATAAAATAAGAGCGAAATAATAAGTGCGCTTCTTGGTGTAACGACACTATATTATTGAACAGACTATATAATACCTGGTTGTATTAATTAAATTACTTTACCATGGTGAAAAGTGAAATATACCACTTGGCGACGAGGATGGGATAATGGTGATATATAACACTTAAGAGATTATGTTCGTGCGCTCACCGTTATTGCAGACCGCGATGCCTCTGTCCATGGCGAAGTTGAGCACTGCCATGATGATCCCGAGCAGCGCCAGGAAGATCCAGTCCTCGCCCAGCCGCGCGAACGTGTGCCACCATACGTAACCTGAAGCACACTTCATATCATTGCCTACTTTATCACTTGGAATACACAAGGTGTTTTTATTGCGCAAGGTGATAACGATCCTCACAACTGGGGGTTACAAACACCTATATTTTACACATTTACTTCGTATTTTTATCTGCATCACCTAGAGATCGGACTGGTAGAGAATGCCTCAGGCATTAAGCCCGCCTATACATCATGTTGAAAGAAGTTAAATAAATAAATACAGTAAAGTGACGGTTGACGGCTCCGTGGCACAGTTGCTTGGCAATGAGTTGCAGAGCGGGTTTGAATCCGGCACAGATGTTTGCTCTGGTCCAGGTTTGGATCTTTTTTTTATAGGATAAGGGTGGCAAACGAGCACACAGTCCACCTGATGGTAAGTGGTTGCTGCGGCCCATAGACATCTACATCTACAAAATGTAGATGCGTTGTCACCCGTGAGGAATAAGATGGCCTCATTTCCAGTAAAAAGGGCCTCCGGCCACCTGCACTCACCAAGCGAAACGCAGAGGTAAACCTCTACTTCACGCTGGTTTTCTGTGAGGTCGTGGTACCACCCCGGTTCGAGCCGGCCCATCCGTGCGACAGCAAAAGCTGCCGCGTGGCTCTACCAATTGGATGTTTGTTCTTGTAAAATTTATGTAAACTGTCTTCACAATACAGAAGAAAATCCTAGTGCGGAGGTAACATTTTTTCAATAATAAAAAAACAAGACAAAATGTCAATTTACAGCCTATAGGTATATACATACAGCTGGGCGCAGGCCTCTTCCTATTTCTGATAGGGTTTAGGGCAAGGCGACGGACTTCACATGTCTTCGAAATATATACTTTTTATTTTTTAGACATGCGAAACCTGCACGATATTTTTTCTTCACCCCGAGCACGTGGTAAATCAGCAATTACTCGTAGTAATTAACTTGTAATTGGAGGTTCACACACCGACTTGTCGGTAAAGTCACAAGGCTCCAACTGAAAACCAGCGCTGCCTTTGATATTTGATATTACATTTTAAATTTGTTTTTTTTTTAATTCTTTTTGTTTTATTATTAATTAATGATGTGCATGTACCGCTTCGTAACTGGTGCATGCATATTTCAGCCCCTTGCTTTTGCTTATTTTTTGAAATTTTTGTAAAATGTGTGTATCAAATAAATAATTCTTTGTTTCTTTCATTTAATTAACAATTTATTGGTTCCGGCTAGAATCGAGCCCGAGTTGCTCTAGTACTGTGAAATTTACAGTGAATGTCTAGCTTCTGAGCTAGCACAACAGCACAAGTGGGGCTACAACGAGTAATTTTAGATGTTGTTCTTCTAATCTTCCACTTGCTTGCACTGCTTGCACTGAACACGGCCAAAAATTTCGGGACGAACATGGCACGAATTTACACTACTATTAACTTAGGTTTCCAAATAGAATAAGGGTGACAAACGACTACACAGTCTACTTGAAATTAAGTGGACGCTGTCTGGGCCACAGAATCCACTTACCATCAAGTGGACTGTGTTATTCTATAAAAAAAAAATGGAGGCTTTCCCATAAATTGTCTTTTAGGGGGGATATTTGCCATAGTTGCCACGCTTGGCAGGTGGGTTGGCAACCGCAGTTTGATCATTTTTAGTTGTTATTACAGAGGCGATGCTGCTCATCTACTGGTTTGTTTCCCTTTGTCGCCTTTTAAGACACAAACAATTGTCAACCCGCCTGGCGTAGCGACTATGGCAACACTCATGAGACAATTCATGAGACGGCTCCGTGGCGCAGTGGCTTAGCAATCAGTTGTTGCGCAGGGGGCCGCGGGTTCGAATCCCGCACGGAACAAGTATTTGTATGGCCTACAAATAATTGTTCCGGGTCTGGATGTTTGTCCTTGTGCAATTTATGTTTGTAAACTGCCTCCACGACACAGGAGAAAATCCTAGTGTGGGAGTAACGTTTTTTTAAAAAAACAAAAAAAAATCCATGGGGAATGCAGTTGTTCAGCAGTGGACTTTTGATAGACAGTAACGGTAAGCCTGATATGGCATGATTTCTTTTATAGTATGGAAGTATTCAAATTTTCTTAATACCATGTAGAATGGTAATAATAAATAAACCTTAATACAATGTAAAATGTCATCTCACCTAATACTTTGAATACTTTCCCCCTCGGTCTGTGCTTGCCTGTTGCTTCAAGTTCCTTCTGCCGGAGCTTGTCGTCTTTTAGTCTTCTTTTTCTAAGTCTTCTGAGTCGTCTCGCTTCTTCTCTGGCGGCTTCACTTAGGTCGCGTTGATAGCGACCATACATCTGTAAAAGAAATTGATAAACTTTATCATTATTTATATCATAATTATCAGTACGTCTAACTATCTAGCACTAAGGTCGTGTAACTTCAGAATCGCTTGACCGATTGAGGACAATTCCCACAATTATTTTTTTCGAGACGATGGTTCTTAGTTATACCAAGATTTGATAGACAGCGCTGTAACAAATTCTATATTTTATGGACAAAATGGCTCTTGTCCACAACAGCTGGTTTAGTACCAAAAAATAGAATCGACAATCTCGACCTAATAAGTGCTCGAGTCATTAATAAATTGTATATTTGTATACATGTAAAAAGTTGGTTTGGTCATGTAGAAAGAATGAACGAGGAAAGAGTGACTAAGCAAATTTATGTTGCAGAAGTGAACGGCAGGGTCGGGAAGGGACGCCCTAGAGGAAGGTTTATCGACCAAATCGGCGATACATTAAAAATGGGCCAGATTAGGAGTACCCTTAACCGACGAGCGTGTATGCGTAAATATATGGATGTAAAAGAGGCGAGAGAGGTCTGTCAGGATCGCGCCAAATGGAAGTCCGTAGTCTCTGCCTACCCCTCTGGGTGACAGGCGTGAGTGTTTATGTTTATGTTGTATGTATGTTTTCTGTAAAAAGTCCGGAGTGATTTTGGAGAGCGCAAACTACCAGTAAGGACAAAACTAAATCGGATGGGGCAACTAGCTGTATAGTTGAGTAGAATTTATAAAAGAAGAAAAATAAACGTGCTGCATTTCCCTTTTTTTTTAGTGTTTCTAGTAGTTAAATCACTAACGGAATTATATTTTGCTGTGTGTAATTCACTTCATTACGCATAGATAATGACACAATATATTTTTGTAGTCGGTTACTTAACATGACATTGTATAATCTAGCATCCATTAGCTCGATAACCCCAAAAAAATTGGCAAAAGTAAGTAAAAATAGAGTACAAAAACATTAACACATGCATATGTTTATCATAACCGTGTAGTTGAGGTTTAAGAATATCCACTGCCCCATTTCGTCCCGTGGGTGTCGTAAGAGACCACAAAGGGGAACAAACTAGGATATGGACAGCAGCGTCTTTCTTGTAACAACTGTTTATTTTTCACTATTCTAAGCCAGCGCTTGACTACTGTACCACCTGATGGTATGTGGTGATGCAACCGAAGATGGCAAAACGCACTGACTTAACAACATCCTATTCACTCTTGCCTTGAAGACACCCACACTGTAATCGGATGGAAAGGCAGATGCTGGGGACTTATTTTAATCCTTTGCGTCAGGGCTCGGATAACGATATATTTTTCGAAACGTTTTCGCATTAAATACCTAAAAACTTATTTGTTTTGTTTATGTTCGAACTGAATCACAATAAAAACGTTTATGAAGACAACGAAATTTTAAGTCGTTCTTGTTCAATAAAATTTTTTTTTTCATTTTTTGGCCCTGCAATACGAAACAAAAATACCTCATAGGTTTAAACGTGACGTGGCACGCGCCATTCATTTAGTTTCCTGCGGAATAAACCTTTTTTTTTACGTTTTCACATAACGATTTTTTGTTCCGAACAAAATGTTGTACAAGGAACCATCCCAAACGTTTCAATAACGTTACTTTTAATAACGTTTCCGAGCCATGCTTTGCGGCACGCAAGACGAAAGATGAATCAAATTGTTTGGTTCGAATGCGTAGTAAGTCGACAACGAAAGGCTAGAGTAGAGACTGGCCAAGCGTCTGGTTCGCCGATGGTAGAAGGGAGAGGGAGATAGAAAATTAAAAAGGTGCGGTTGTCAATATGCCTGTCGATGAAGAAATCTGTCTATCAGAAATCTATCGGGAAGCCTTTGTTCATCAGTGGACTTTGATACCGTTACCGTTACAACCCGTTAAAGTTCACAGCTGAACATACGCCTCCCCATGGCTTTCCTCATAGGGGATCTCCCCAAATATTTGCCATAATTGCCACGCTTGGCAAGCGGGTTGGCAACCGCAGTTTTTATTTTTCGTCGTTAGGAAGACGCTGCTGCTCATCATCTGATTTGTTTCCCTCCGTCGCCTCTTACGACACCCACGGAATGATATAGTGGATATTCTTACACCGTCACTACACGGTCTACTTCCTCAGGTGGACTTAGTTTGTAATGATCCAACGAATGTATCGAAAATATCGTATACGAAAAATATTTTTATACTGCAGCGCCTATCAAAAATAATTCTGCAAATGTTTTCAAATGACAATAATTGCAGTATGCAATATTTACTTGATTGGCTCGTTGGTTAAGTGGTGCTACACCACTGCTGATCATGAGGTCGTGGTTTCGAATCCCGGGACAGGCCAACAAGTTGTTCTGTTAAGAAATTCTTAGTAGCCCCTCGGAGACAGAATGCTGGCGGCCCCGTGCCTCGAAAAGCACGTAAAGCTGTTGGTACTGCGCCCGATTTCTCTCCGATGATGTCGGTTTGCCGTCCCATCGGACTATGAGAGTGAGGGAATAGAGAGTGCACCTGTGCTGGGCATTATATTCCTGTCCTGCGCAGATGGCTAGTCTCTGTTGAGACTGGCCGCCGAGACCAAAATTTGGTCTGGAGTATATTAATATTTACTTTGTAGAAGTTTAATTTTTAAATTGTATATGCACATTTTTATAGAATAGGCCGACAAACGAGCACACAGTTCACCTGATGCTAAGTGGTTGCTGTGACCCATAGACATCTGCATCTATCCTCAATAAAGAATCAAAACGCAGATGCGCTTTCACCCGTGAGAACTAAGATGGAATGCCTACACTCACCCTACGAAACACAGCAGCATTAAACTGCTATTTTACGCTGGTATTCTGTGAGAGCGTGGTCCTTCCCCGGTGGAGCCAACCCATTCGTGCTGCAACTAATACAGGTGCAGCGTGACTCTGCCACGTATAATGTGAGTGTACGCTACATTAGTTATGAACTTATGAATTTGTATAACGAGGATGGTGGTGGCTCCGTTGCGCAGTGACTTGGCACATGAAGTGGCGGCGCAGAGACCTGCTTGAATCTTGCACGGAACGATTATTTGTGTGGTCTACAAATAATTGTTTCGGATTTGAATATTTGTCTTTTTCCAGTTTATGCATGTGAATTGCCTTCACGTAATCCTTTACGTAAATAGGGAATCGAAACGGGAGTTAAATTGAAAATAATAAATAATTAAAAATTAAAAATTTTGTACAGCCGAATTCAATATATGTTATTAAGAATAACTCAAATAACTCAAAAACTATTGGTCTGACCTTGATCAAATTCATATGGGACCACACGAGAAGTATCAGCTTTCATATAAAAAATCGAATAATCGAAATCGGTTCACCCAGTAAAAAGTTATGAGGTAACACACATAAAAAAAACATACGCGTCTAATTGAGTGCCGTCTCCTTTTTGGAAGTCGGCAGAAAACTGAGGTAAGCCAATCTTCTATAGGAGAGGCCTAAGTTTTGCAGTGAACTCATAGGCTGTAAATGATTGAGTCAATTGCTGAGCTACTGGGCTACTAAGATGACAGCATAATTTGTAATTTTTTTTATAGTTGTTTTTATACTAGTAATGCTATTAAAGCAATTAATATTCTCGTTAACATCTACAAGTAAGCCCTGTGATTGACGTTTGTCGAATGGTGGAACCAACAATGTTTTTAACCAGTGTAGGCTATTAAAATAATTACCTGAGAAAAAAAATAGGGGGGGGGGGGGGTTGGGGTCCGTTATTTTAATTATATTTAGTTATTATCTGTAGGAATCTAGACTTCTATGTACACAACTAGACCGGTTCGGCGACCTTTACATTGCTCACTAAGTTACGGTCAAAATCTCCGTATCCGTAGCTTCTTTGGTCCATAGTTAGGTCACTGCGAGCGAGCGAAGACTACTTATTTGTTTTGTAAACTGCCAAAGTTGTTTTCGACAATTTAACGCTGATTTCGTTTAATGTGTGTTGTACTCTGTCAACGTGATTTGAAGTTTTTCATATTATATGTATGTAACTTTATATCGTATTTGCCTAAAATCATCTTACATAAATATGTAATTTGATTAATAGAATCAGGCGTTACTTTGCGGAAATCCATTAAATAAAAGCTTTTAGAAAAAATTCCTTCGCAAATATCCGCGATATAAAATAAAATGATGTGTCTTACCTAGTATGAAGAGCACCTCCCGCCCTCCCTAAATTGCGTGCACTATCCCCGTCACCACTAATCCCAGCACCGCTACTCCCAACACCACTACACTAGGCAAGACACAACACTGACGATAATACGACACGTGTTTCGTCTCTACACGAGGCATCCTCAGGTGATATAGACTCTACGGTGGCTAACCGCTAAGTGAGCGGCGAGCCAAAACATGTGCCTTTTATACAGACTTTGTAATTGCCTAAAAAAAATCTAACATATGTAAGATGATTTTAGGCAAATACGATATAAAGTTAATAAATATCAAGCCTGCAAGCCTGCAACCCGGCACGACCGGCGCCCGTGCAATCCACAACTGTGATACAAGTTTTTGTTCTGAATTTCCAAAAAGTCTTTGTAGAAATTACGTTTCCACGATTTGAGTTTTGTAAGAATACGGACTGCATTCTTAACCAATCTAACATAGTGTTAACATACTGTATCTTCATGATAGATCTATCTCTTATGAATTGATAATGGTACTTCTGTAGTTAGATTATGTAAAAAAAAATTAGTTACATAGTATATTCTGTTAGTTCTAAACATATAATATCTATCGTATTATATAATATTTTTTTTTCAACAAATTAAATGCCAGTGCTGCAGAGAATGAGTCGGTTCGACCTGGAAAGGACCACACTCTCACAGAATACCAGTGCATTGCTGTGTTACATGGTGAGAGTAGAGAACCGGAGACCCTTTTTACTGAAAACGAAACATTTCTTCGTAGTCCTCACGGGTGAGGACGTATCTGCATTGTGATCTTAATCGAAGATAAATTTAAATGTCTATGTGC